TGAGCGTCCCCAGGGCTGAACACACAGGCCTGCAAAGTGAACAGCGCATGCTGCGTGATTGACTGGATGGGAGGGGTTCAGTGTACGATTGGCCGGGGCATTTACATGTCTTGATACATAGACTTTAACGCCAAGTTCACGATTAACGCAACCGAATGGGCGCAATGACAGCCCTCACAATAACACGCCCGTCGCCAGGCTCGTCGACGACTGCTTCTTGCATGACACTGTCGCGTCGGAGGAGAAAGGAACCACAAGAAAAAATACCCATGATATAAACAATGGCAGTCCAGCTTTCACCACAGCCACCTGAGTGTCCTGTCCTGTCATCTCAGCAAGAGTGGTGCAGCTCACACCACATGATCAATGCAAGACTGATCGACTGTCTATTGGTGGTATCCCTCCAACACCAGCCTTACAATGATCCAGTTTCTCCCACATTCACCCCACACAGTATCAAGCTCCCACAACAGCTCCTCCTGGCGCCATAACATACATACAAGCATTCCCATTGCTTCCTACCTCCTAAAGAACCCCAACCCGCCCCGGTTCTGCTGTGGAGGTGGTGAGGCCGCCGCAGGAGACGCACCATTGGTGGTGCCGTTCTGGTTTTGAGAACGACCAGGCGGTGGCCCAGGGGCGCGTCTCCTAGGCGCCACTGCTGGTGCTGTGGCTGCCTGTGCTGGCAGATTGCCTCCAGAGCTCGGACGCGCCAAGCTAGGCGGCTGGGATGGTGGTGCAGGGCGGGCAGGTGCAGCACGAGCTGGAGACACGCCAGTGGGCCTTTGTACAGGGGCTGGCTTTGGCGATTCCTGGGACGTAGCAGGTGGGGATGGTGCCGGCTTCTTCACCTTCAAGCTGTACCGTCTTGTCAGACCATCGGCATCAGGCCTTAGCTGGTTGATCATCTGCGCCAACTCGATCACCTTCACAGACAGCATGACGTCCCCAAGGTTCTTGCCTTCACGAGCCGCGGCCTGCCGCGTCTTCTGCACATCCTTAACAGTGTCCTCCGCCTCAGACACGTCGTGCAGGAGCTGCCTGACCCTCTCTCGGTACTCCACTATGTCAGGCGCCTCTTGCAGCAGGACCTCACGCACATCCGTGGCCATGCCCAGGATGTGCTCCTCGATGACAGGCCCCAGCTTCGTGCGTGCCTTGTCCACCAAGCAGTGGACCACAACCTTGGGGACAGTCATCACCAATGTCTCGCACACCAACTTCGTGTAGGCCCGCATGTCGCGCGTGTGCTGCCTCAAAGCCAGGTCCTGCTTGATCTCCAAGCCCTCATCCAGAAACAGCCCTGGGGAGGGGAGCAATGAGTTGTTCTCGTCACGGCATATGTGGGACCAGAAGATTGCAGAGCCGAGGCCGTGGCTCGCCAGCATCGGGTCCGCATAGCTCTCGTAGCCCTCCTCGTCTTCATAAACAGTACCGGGCACTTCCACTGGAGGCGGCACCTTGTCCTTTTTTCCCTTTGCCCAACCGGACGAGACCATTGCCCCGGAACGGGGGTCAGAGCAGATCTGCTTCAAGTACTGAAGCCACCTGAACTTGTCGGCCGCATTTTCTGCCCTGAGAATCAAGTCGTGGCTATTCTTGTACAGGTTGACCCGGGGGTTCTTGTGCCTGATCCTGAGCAGCAGGGAGATGGGGGCGCCCGCCCGGTCCAGAGTCTCCACCGACTTTGCCAGCGTACCCTTGGGCAGCCCCCCGCCGTCGGTCTCCTCCACGACGCAGTCCGTCAGGGGCACCTGCCCCCTGGGCTTGATTCCCTTCAGGAACGACTCCTCTGACCCGTAGTACTCCAGCAGCTTGAGCTCTTCCCTCACGCCGAAGAACCGCCTCTGCCACAGCGTGGCCTCCGCCTTGACCGTCTTGTGCCGCGAGTGCGAGCTGCTCTTCTGCAGGTACCCCGACATCCCGAAGTACAGGTCGGCGCTGGTGTACACAGCGCTGGACCGGGGCGTGCCCCCGCCCTCCCCAGAACTGTTGTCGCTGGCGGCATCGTCCGCGAAATCGTCCTCCTCGCCCCCGCCCCCGTTCTTCCGATTCTTCAGGGGCCGCGGCTTGCCGCCGCTGCCCTCCTCCCCGCTGTCTTCACCTTCATCCTCGTCCGCCCTCTGCTGCGCGGACCGTATGCGCTGGAAGGTCATGTACCGGAAGAACGAGCACGAGATGAACGACTTCTCCATCTCCACCACCGACAGCGCCACCATCCGCGCCTCGCTGCGCAGCTCCAGCAGCGCCGACAGCACCACCGGCAGGATGGCCTCCACGAAGTTCGGCAGGCGGATCAGCGGCCGGGCATGCGGCCCAATCCCTGGCACCTCGCATGCCCTGCTCACGGCCGCCTCTGCCGCTTGGGCCACTGTCAGGTGGACGTTGTCCACCAGGTCGTTCACAGGCGGCCCCAGCAAATCCACCGCCTTGTCAAACAGTGCCCGCAGGCCATCCTCTGGGGAAACCAGGTAGGGCTGGTAGCCGTCCGCCAGGCGCAGCTGCTCCTTGACGGTCGCCGTGTCGCTGAACAGGCGGTTGAATCCCAGGCGCTCCACCGCGCCCGGGAATCCCTCCGCCTCCAGCAGCTGGATCTTCACCGCTTCCGACAGCTCCGACCCATCCTCCAAGAATTTGGACAGCTGGGTGACGAAGCTGCGGCTGAGGTGCAGCAGGTCGGACAGCCCCCGAGGGGCCTCGCTGAGGCGGTTGGAGATCTTGACGAGGTCGATGCGCTGCTTGTGCAGGGCGTGCAGGATCTCGCCCAGTGCCTGCGGGGGGACGCTCACATTGCCCTCCATCACGGGGCCGGATCGCCACGCGCGGGTGCGCGACGGCCCGAACGGCTGTGCACCACGGGATCTGGGCCTCGAGCGACCTCTGCTAACCGGGTGTGTGGCGACAGGCTCGCGGGGAAGGCACGGTGTGTGCTGGGTTTTGCGCCGGGCGCGCCTCTGTGACCTCGCCCTGTGTTCCGGGAAGAGAATTTGGCCCCGAATGCATATCACCGACGCCACCCTCTATCCAGCTGCTCACATTACTTCCCAAAGTGTAATACTGGATGGGGGGGGTCGGAATAAAAAACATACTGGTAGTGTCGTGCCAGCCAGCACAAGAAGCGCACGCGGACAGCAGAGGTGCGAAGGGCCGTCTCCGGAGGGCAAGCGTGTCCCGCCCGCCGGCTTGCCTGAGCGGGGAGGGAGCATGGCGGGACAGTCCGTGAACACCTACGACCAGCAGTCGCCCAAGGCAAGCGCGCAGGATGGGCAGCTGTACAGCGCCGGGCAGGGATTGGCCCCCGTGGTGAACAACCCGGGCCCCGTGTCGCCCCTGAGCATCATGTGCTGGCCGGCCGCGCTCGACCGATCGTGGCAGGAGGCCCCCCCGCCGGCCTCGCCGGGGCTGCTGAGGGAGGTCACCTGGGGCGACTTCGACGAATACCTGCAGAGGCTTTCGGAGCTGCACCTGAGTTTCAACCAGGCCAGGCAGCAGCTCGAGGCGGACTCTGTGCGGCGGATCATCGCCAGGGACCCAATCGGTGAGTGTGGGCAGGGGCCGGGTGCGCCGTCCGACAGAATAGGGGACGGTCGCGCCGCTGGTGGATGTGGTGATACGGTCTTGCTCACCGATGGGGGCCCTCACCCGTGGTTTCTTCCCGTCGGGGACCGGCTGCAGATGCGGCACAGCGGCGGTCCCTTTGCAGGGCATGCAATGCGAAAGTCCGAAACGGGCGTCGCTTTCGCTGTTACGGGGATCCAGACCGCCCTCCATTGGTGGCATGCTTGACGGATTTGGCGTTGTGTGGTTTTGGCATCGTGTCCCGTGCGTCATCATCCAGTTTGTGCAATTCCATTGATCGCATAGTTGCCACAACGTGAGAAGGCAAGCCGTTTCACCTAGGTGGCGATGTCGGTCAGCTCGTGCAGCAAGTACAGTTTTAGCACCCATCCCACTGCTATATCGATTGACAGAAATTGAACTCACTCTCGCAATCCACAGGGTGCAACACCTTGTTGATTGCAAAGACAAGATCGGGCAAACTTATAGTTTGCGCCATTGTTCACAAAATATCCACGTGCATGCAACAATGGCATCCATGTACTCACATGTTCCATGATGGCCATTTCCAGGCTGTTGTCAACTTCTTGAGCATCACAAGCCCATAAGCCAACAAGTCAAGTCAGCGATGCTGGACGGTTGATACGTCAAAGTTCGTTACGATTTTGACTCTGGATTGCGGTCGACCTCGATAAGAATGTTCCTCACTGCCATCTCGCTTCAACATGAGGGCCCAGATTGGGCTTCAATACATGCATCACCGCTGCAGTCAGGCTATATGCACACCTTGGTAGTGGCATTGTAATATTCATGCATGTGGCCCTTCCTTGGCAATGGGGACAAACTGGTGCCAATCCAACTTTGTGCGGCTTGTGCTCATATCCCAGTCACAACACATTTTCAATAGCGTTGGGGACTTGTGCATACTCAGCAAGACAGGGACACTCACAACGCCCACTTGTGTGTGATGCAAGTAGTGTGTGGGTAATGGTCCTTCAATCGGTCTCTGAATAGCTGTGTTCATTTTAAGGCACTGGCCATCTTCGGGGTGAGGGATTGCTGCAGGCGCTGCGGAAGGTACCTGGTCTGTACTTCCAGGAGGCATTCTCACTCACAAGGTGACCAGTGCTTCAACAAATGGAGTTGAAGACAAACAGTGTCTTCACGCCATGCTGACAGCACCACTGCACCAACATCCAAAATCTTGTTGCGCTTTTCAAAGGGTGCCCGATTTTGTGGCCTCAGTCCTAACCTGCTGATGGTTGGCACTGCAGGCAGGAGGTGTTTGAGGAAGTCTGCCACGGTGGTGCGGAAGAGGAATGGTGCCAAACTGTGGAGACTCTGTCAGGCTATATGGTATGCTGCAGCATTGCATGAGCAATACTGTGTGGTGATTATGAGAGATGTGCTGTGTCTCAAAGGCATGGATGGATTGCAACTGTGACCTGTCTTGACTGCAACTATTGGCAATGAAGTGTGGCCTCCTTCTGTGGCTTGGCCCCTGAGAGGTGCCAATATGCGCTGTGCAGGACACAATTGAAGGAGAGTTGCTCAATGAGATTGCTGCTCGTTCAGATTCCTTTTTCGAGGCAGCAGAGTCTCTCCAGGCGCTGCAACAGTCGTTGGAAGTGAATTTGCAGCACATCAAGGAGCTGGAGGGGCGGGTTGCTGGACTGGACAAGATCATGTGCAAGAAGGCTGCAGCGGTCAGGAGGCTTCATGTCCATCGAGGAAATTTGAAGGAAGTTGCAGAGATTGTGCAGGTGTGCAGCTTGAAGTTCTCTTGTGAGGTTCAGAAAGGAGTGAAAGCAGGGGTCCTGGCACTGCGCACAGCCATTGAATCTGGCAGCCCTCTCTGGATGTTGAAGGAGGTCATGTGCTGCCCCTGTGTTACAAAACCAGAGTTAAACTCCTGCTATCCTTGGAAGTGGTTTCAGCTGTAGGCGGCAAAGAAATGCCAGTCAACTGTCAGTGTTCCAGTCAAAGGGGTTTGTAAAAGTGATATAGTTGCTGTACAGCATCACCTGTGGTTTGGCAAGGTCAGCAACCTTGAGCTCCCGTTGATAACATTTGACAGAATATTGTAAAGAACCAGTCTCACTGGTTAGGCAGTGCCAGTCACACAGTGGATGGTCTGGAGTTGTTGGATGATGCACTTGACACATGCATATGGTGCCAGGGCAGGTCTTGGAAGCAGTGCTGCATGCTCAGGATGCTATTCAGCTGCTAGTCCTGGGCAAGGACTACTCATCGGCTGTTGAGCTGCTGGGTAATCTGAAGTATCAGTGTGAGCAGCAAGGGCTGACCCGACTCCACTGCCTGCGACACCTGCCAGACTCATTGGCGAACCTCTCCAATTCATTGATCACTGCACTGGAAGAAGACTTTGAGGCAACGACAAATTGGAAGTCATCAGTTGTCCTTGTGGGCGAGGCTGTGCAGATTGCAACGAATGAACGAGGTGAGTATGCAGCACATCGTTCTGTTCCTTCCTGTGCATAATGTAAAGTTGAAAGAGCCAGGAGGAACAGTGAAAAGCAGGAACAAGGATCGATGTATTGGCAAAAATAATGGTGGGAAGTGTTGCAGCTTGTGCACATGTAATCAGGATTAGAAGCGGGTACCACCAAGTGGAGTATCAAAGCCACAACCCTTTGCCCGGGCGAAAGAAACCAATGACAATGGTTGAACATGTTCAAGTTGCACTTTGCAAGTTGTGCAAATTGGTTTGTTGGCAACACACCAGTTGAAAGGTTCTTGTGCCTAGGCTTCCCCAGCGCAAGCATCAAAACAAGAACTAAATGCCAAGTGTGTCTTATTTAAATTGTACGTTTGCAGTTTGTGCTTTGATGCCATTAATTGTACGATCCTTGTCATGCTTGTTGAAAGAAACAGCTTGTGTTCAGGTAGGTATGGTGTTGAGCACAGTCACAGGTCAACGAAGCTAAACAAGAGTTGATGCAACATTTGTGCAGTCACCTACAAAAGATATGCACGTGTTTTGGGACAGGGGCTGTGATGTTTGTCACTATCCAGAATCTGGAGTTCAAGAGTGGTTCCCACACAGCATGTTCTCATGTAATTGATTCTGAGCAACGCAATAGCAAGTGCGACAGCACTGACAGCCAACGCTCAGGTTTTGTTGCCCATTTGCAAGGGTGTGCACCACCTGTCCAGTTTGCCTGTTTCTGTTGCAGGTTCCGGTCCTTTGGACATCGATCTTGAGCCTTCCAGCTCTGGCCGTTCAGTTTCCTCTCTGGAGGGAGATGAAGAGCTGTGCTCTTTCCTTCAGTCTGTTCTGGGAGGATTGAGTCAACTGGGCGCATTATCAGGTGCGGCACTCCACAATGCTTTTCATCCAGCCACACTCGACTTGCGTTCCTGTGGCAGCTCGTTGTTGTTTGGTGGCCAGCAACAGAGTGATTTTCGTGTGGCAACTCGCCCCCTCTTTGGCAATGCTGCAGTTTTGGGAAGCTGTATGTTGGACAGGTGTTTCCAAGGATTAATCGGATATCACGCTTGGAGGTGCAGTCTGATTCAATAACAAATACAACATCCTTTGCTTTCCTTGTGGAACAGTGGCTGATTGCGCCCCTCATCAAAGCGTTGCACCACCTGTACTGCTCGTTGGCAGCTGGACATGATATCTGCTGAATGTTGAGCCCCACTAAAACCCACAGCTACGGCTGTTGCCACCACTGCCAACATAGATCCAGATACTGTGCTGTGGAAAGACAGTGGCAATATGTCCCTTTTGTGAGCTCTAAAAGGCTCCCAGGTCTTGTCTGGAGAGTAAAGATGGTTTAGGTTTGGAGTACCGTGTGCATGGACACAAACTGACAACTGACAGTAAATTTTTTTGAATAATTGCTGCTTTCATGTTTGGGCAGGGACGCTCTCCAGATATGCAGCCAAGGCTGCAGGAGAGCTCAAGGCTGCATTCCTTAATGTTATGGAGCAAATCTTGACACCGCCGGCTGAGAAGGTGCCTGACAGCCCTGTCGATGAGCAGGACAGCAGCAGGTCCTCCACCGAGTGGAGAAAAGCAATGCAAGCCTGTGACCATGCAGTGTTCCATGGACTGTTGACAGCATGCCTCTATGTTGCTGAGGGGTGTTGCCACCACCATGTGTCTGTGTGCGAGCTTTTGGGACGGCTTACTTCGGGAGCAAGGATTGCTGGGTGAGGTGCAGACTGTGACTGCTTTGGGCACCTGTTTGTTGGTTGTGGCTTTTGGAAGGCACTCAATGCTTCGAGGCTATCTGGAGATTGATGTTGCATGCACTCCGACAGCATGGAGAAGATACCAAATTGCGCTCATAGAGAGGTGCCTACTCCGCCTGTTACTTGCGTCAATTGAAGCGCCTCTCATGACCTTGGCCCCGTTTTGAACTGGATTATTATGGATACTAGGGCTGCAATGAGGCCCAATGGGACAAGTTTCATTGCTTAGGCTTGTCTGTTCCTCAGAATGCAGCAGCACATGGCATGTTTACTCTGCAGGCACAAGGCTATGGTGGACCTTCTCATGACAGAAGTGTGTGAGGCGCTCGTAGAGGTGCTCCACAAGCACTTTGCAGACATGCTGAATGCACGCTCGACTGAGGTTTCCAGCCTGGCCATGTCCCAGCTGGAGCAGCTAGTGAGGGTGGCACAGAAGAGCATCGACCTTGGAAAGAAGTATGATGTGAGGTTGGCTCCCCGGCTGAACAACGTGGTGCAGGTATGCAGCCTGTCCTTGTGGCCCTGGTGATGGCTACACTTCCCACTTAGGAGTGGGCTGGGCCGATGGGATGTGTATTGCTGTTGCTGTTGCTCAGGTCGCATAGATTGTCAATGCTGGAACCTGTTGTGCCTTTGTTGCATTCTGTGAGTACTGAATGTATCCACAGCCATGAGTCTCATATCTGAATGAAGATCACCCCTCCACTGCAATCGTGGTCTGTGTATCAGTGTTTTTTTGTCACCATGTGGAAAGACAATGCCATTTGCCAAGTAAATTCAAACATGATGTTGGGAATGTAGCTGCAGACCGTAAAAGGAGGGTACAGCCACAACCTATTCTCGTTTTGCTGTGGGCTGATTGGTGATTAATTAATATTCACATGAGGCTGTGTTCAGTGTCTTTCCGCTCAAAGGATGGTATATTGTCAGTATCAAATTGTGATTGGTGAAAAGGAGCCCACTGGCAGGGCACTGGCAATGTCTCCTCTTGCTTTGCACGCCTTGTGAGTGTCCAACCGATTGTGCTCCTCCCCTGTTTTCCTTACACTCGAAACCTGTTCTGCAGGGCCAGTGCAGGGTGTTCCTTGAAACCATTCACACAAAGAATGTGTCACGCCTTCGTGAACTGCTTGACATGGAGAATTGGAAGAAATACGAGGCCCCTGCACGGTGCCAGGACATTGTCAATTCGCTGTTGCCTGCAGAGCGCAGTGCTGAGGTTGGTGAAAATGGAAGGTGCGTGTGCCAGTCCATCTGATGACATTTGCTCAAATATCGCAGAGCACTGCCTGTGGACCTGCAAGGCAGCTGCTTGCAGAACTCCATAACTCCATCCACATTGCTTGGTTGACAGAGATCGTTCGTTTCCCCCTTGCTGAAGGTACATCCCTACAGAATTCCTGCTTAGCAGGTCAGCTACTCCTTGTGTCTGAGGTCCAGTTGGCCATCAAATGCTTCCGGTATCAGCTGTATGGCGAATTGCTATGTGCAAGATGGCCAGAGTTGTTGAAGCCTGAGTGTGGAGTCATCTCAACAGTGTTGACTGCACGCTGTCTTGTAGGATTGAGACTTCCTCTGAGCCATCAACAAGTGCGCCCTCTGTGCACAGCCTACCAGCAATTGCTGTTGGGAAGCAAGAATATCGGATTGTATTCTCTGCAGCAGGTTTGATTGAATGCCTAGGCGAGTATTTGGCCTTTCACAAGGCTTTCCCAGAGTTTGTGACAGAAACTGGACAGTTTGTTCTGGAGCTCTTGACTTCGTTCAACACCAGAAGTTGCCAACTGTTGTTGGGAGCACAAGCGATGCGAACATCTGGGCTGAAATCAATCACAGCAAAGCATCTCGCATTGTGTAGCCAGTGCATCTACCTTTTGAGGTCACTCCACAGACCACTGGCAGCAGCTCTTCTTGGATCTGAGGGGCAATCTCGGAGAGCAATTTTGCAGCCAGACTTTGACAGATTGAACCAGGTGTGTTTTGTTTGCGAGTGAAGATTGTGGTGTGCAACTTTTGATGAGCTTGCACTGACTTGGTCAATTGCTTCATGGCTGTGCTGAGTGAACGCAAATCACCACTTGGTTAAACATGGATCCCTCGTCAACTAATGCCTGCGAATGATGGCATGGTTGCTGCAACAGATGGCATGCATCAGCTGCCCTGCATGCCACCCTTGGTGTAACAGCAACAGTTTGCTGCTCTTCGTGCGTTTCCTTGGATGTTATTTCAACTGTACTTCCACCCCTGTTTCGTTTTATTTAGTAGACCAGTTCCATGTTATCTTTGAGGAGCTACATCCCACAGCTGTCCATTTCAAGCAGGAACTGTGTGAAGTGCTCTGACAACAGGTGTGGCAGGTGTATAGTGTGCTGAGCTCAGGGCTTCAACTCCTGGTGTTGGTTGTTTTGTGTTGTTTTTCACACTACATGCGGTGGTGTGCGAAAAACATAGATGTGGAAGTTCGTTGGGCTGGACCCTGTTCTGATTATTATATATGCTATGTACAAGGATCTCATCACACACTGTGACAGCATTCACTCCAAGTTGGTCTCCATAATGAAGGAACGCCTGATTTTGAGCACCCGTCAGCTGGCAAGCTCGGCCAAAGAGTGGCCTCACAAGGATGATGCCACAGAGCCAAGCAATATTGCACTGCAGATTGGGAAACAGGTGATGTGTCACTTGGCAGGACATCGTGCACAAGATCGCCGTGCGGCTTTTGAGAATTGGCGTCAGGCACAGCGTCCATCAAAACGCCAATGTTTAACTGGGAAAGGGGAAAGAGGGAGAGTGGTTGTGTTTGACAGATGGTGATGATGCCTATGAAGGGAATATGTGGAACAGCGAAATTGCAGTACAAATTATCAAGCATCTTGTAGATGCTCTCCACTGCTGGGTTTGTTTCGAAAGATCCATACTTGAGTATGTCAGTTGGTGCTGTGTTTGCACACACCAGCAGTTCCCGTTGAATTGACAGGTCACTATTGCGTGCTTTGCTGTTTTGTGTTCTGTGTTTTCTTGAGTGCTGAGACTTTTGCACTGCAGCTGCAGTGCCATGCATACCATGTTGCCTGCATCTGGTCTTGTGACTCTCTTGCTTTGGGTTTTGCCTGTTTCAACGGCTCCAAATGTGAATGCTGTGCAATGTGTCATAGTTTGGACCCTGCAGAGCTATGAAAAGATGATATGTGAGGTGTTAGTGACACCTGCTCATCGTGCCTGGTCTGTTGGTTTTGCAGCTTAGCACGTTGTCACAGGTGCTTGTGCCTCTGCTGCTGGAGGAACAGATCATCGACGTTTTCACGCGAGTGGCTGAGACCTTCAGCAGCGTGCTGGCGGAATCGTTTCAAAGCCTTGAGCCAGACCAGGAGTTCACTGAGGATCAGGCCGAGCATTGGCATCATCAGTGGAGAACGGACACTGTGTACTTGCTAGGCTGCCTAAGACAGATGCCCCTTCCAGACGATGTTAAAGAAGGGTCACTCAAGGAACTGTCCTACTTGTGCAGTGAGACGGTGGGAAACGAAGTGCATGGAGTGCAGGTGGCGCAGAAGGGGACAGGCGCTGGTTCTTAGGGTTGCTGACCTGTTGATCGCATGGCCTGGCATGGATGTTCAGCTTGCATCGTTTCTGGAGGCATGTTGTACAAGGTGAAAATGTGTTCTGATGTGTTCTGGAATGTAGGTAATTCTTTGGGGCCTATGACGGCCACTGTGCTGGACTATATCTCCACGAGGAGTCACTTCACCAAACTACTGGTGGCTTCTTTCTCCATCGACGATCAACTGATTGATATCGATCAGCTTCTCGAGCTCGTTTGTCCTGCCTGAATGTGCTCTGGATCAACCGCTCCGTACCACGCATTCTGACGCTTACTGGCTGATCAGGTTTCCACTGCCATTCAGCAGTCTGCAAGATCAAGCGGCCGCAGTGCCGCAATTGCCCCCCCCGACCAGGGCCAACGTTGTTTTGCGGATTGGGTCGCTGGGGGCCGCGTACTGGGCCGCGGTCAGCATCCTTGGCGGATTTGACCTTTCCTGATCAGTTCGCAGCACTTTGGGGCCGCGCTGGAGCACAAAAGCCCCCCGCGGTTCCATTTCAGGCGGCACAGCCCCTCTCCCGCTGCGGAAACCCGTGGTGGTGGAGCTCCTGTTCTCTCGGCCGCTCAGGATTCGGCCATACGGCCGCTGTCAGACGCGCTGCCTGATCCTGTCTGGCCTTTGCCCAAACCCTGACGCTGTCTGGCTTAGGCCTTAAAGCCCGCCGCCTGTCGGCTTGGCGAAGCTGAAGGTGGATGCACCACAGACCAGCGTGCAGAGGCGCCAATGCATTGACAACGGGGTCAACACAGCGGTTGTGCGAATTGACGGTCTTGTGCGTGATCGCCGCGTTGGTCGAACAGGTGTGTGGCAGCCCTTGCGGCCCGTCGCCAGCCGCCGGCCTCCGCCGCCGCGTGCACCCTTGAAGATGGGATCGGCCGCCGGGGCGGCCATTACATCTGCGTCCGGGCTCCTAAATCCCACTGGCGCCCTTTGCCGGGTTGGCAAGGATTGATCGGCGCCTCCGATGCTCCCGGCTCTCCCATGTTGGTGCCGCCGTCACCAACTTTGCTTTGCTTACTGTCGCACTGACGTTGCGTTGTGACTGTACGATCTGCGTAGATTATCCTGTGGGACTTGCCAACCATGATTCTGTCCAATTACTGGGCGTACGACGCGTCGGTAGGATTCTTGAGTGCAGTTTGCCTGGGCGCCGTGGTGGGCTGGCTTGTGCACGGCTGCCTGCCAGCCTCGATGCTGTGGGAATTCCCCATTGAGTCCCGCAGAAAGCACAAGATGGTGCAGGAGGTTGGCGTCATCATAGCCGTCTGCTCAGCCTGTAGTGCTGCCAGGTACTCTTCACACACTCGTCTATGTTATTCATTGCCGCGGTACTACAGTTGCAAGTGTGTCAACTGGAAGCACACTCTGCTTTTGCGGAATACAGGGACAACGTATTGTTCCTCCCATGTGCACCTTCAAATCCCCTTGTTGTGAAGGATCTTGCCCCAGAACGGGCCACAAAACTGTGTTCTAGATAATGCACAGATCCTAGAGACAGGTGAAATTGGAAGGGAGCTTAGACACTGGATGGCTGATCTTGCTTGGCTGCAGATGTCACACCATTTGAATTGCTTCGAGGTTGCCTTCGTGTTTTCGCCAAAGCTGACATTGCATGCCAGGGTGCCACTCTGTTTTGACCTGCTTGTGGTGTATGGCTGATTGTCTAGCATGTCTGCGACGTGAGAACCTTACAGGTTTGCATCTCAAAACGCCAGATGCTTGTGGTTCCCAGCCTTTAGATTATGGTAAAGATCGGGAAGATCACCCCCCAGCTGTCCCTGTTGTACTGGCCCAGTGTTGCTCACCGTGCAGACATCGGCTCCACCTCTGTGCAGGTTACAGCACAGCTGCGATCGCACAAATGCCTCCTGCTATCTTCCAGTTGAACAAACACCAGGAATAAACTCCTGCACAGCGAGAAAGAGGAAGATCGAAGGGACAGCAGCATGTGACTTCTTAGTAGCTTAATTGCCTTGATTGGACTCATTAGTATATTAGTATGACGTACTGTTTGGAATGCGAAGAGGCATTGGACCAGTGTCCCTGTAACTCACTGCAGTGCATGCTGGGTCATTGCAGGGGGCTGTTGGCGATGCTGTACAGTGCAGATGACAGGGATGCTGATGTGGACCTGCTCCAGAATGCGCCATTTGACATTGCTTTCCACTTCTTGTGTGAGGTCCTTGCTGCAGTGCTAATGCTCTGCCTCCTGAACTGCTTATTGGACAAGCACAAGACCACATGCAAGAGTGGGGGCATGGACTGCCAGAGGCGCAGTGAGGTTGGGAAGTGCCAGCCCACGTTGAGCGAGCCAGACAGTGGCGCAAGTGCTATTTGTGGCAAGAGGTCCTGCTCCAATGCAAGGACTGTGGGGTACACCAAAGCTCAAGCAACACTGGCGGTCAGGCTGTTCATGGCATTGAATGGTATAGGGCCCGCATTGGGACAGGCCATAAGTGATACCACTTCGGCAGTTGTGAAGGTGCCGCAAGGCGTTTTGATTGGGTCCCAGGCATTGTATTTCGGCTTGGTGGCAGCAATGGGGAAGTACAAGTTGAAGTGGAGAGCGAAGACAGACCAAAGGTCGATTACCTTCACTGCGTGCGTCCTAACAGTACTTTCCATTGTTCAGATTGGGCTGTTGTGGTTCAGCCTGGACAGAAAAGACAATGACACATTGAATGTGATACACACCACTGGACCAGCACCAATTTTGTCCGCCGTCGTCGCCTTGTGGCTGTACCCAGTTGGATACGAGAGCGCAAGGTCCAAGTACAGGAGAAGAGTAGCACTGTGGGACAGTGACACCGGCTCGATGGTGCGTTTGCGAAAATTGCTGAATGCATGGTACAAGTTGGCCATATACATGGCAGTCACAGCAGTTGTCTGGGCATATGGGCTCATTCTGTTCTTGAAAACAGACAACGTCTACCCATTGTTTTCATCGGTATTGGTGCCATTGCTGTCAAGCCTGATTGGGGCCATACCTGCTCTTTCCGACCATATTGAGCAAATACAAGGGAAATGCAGGGGCAACTGCCAACTCGATGTCATCACCATACCAATCATTGGTTGGTCGAGGAGCACGTCCTTCATTTTGTTGCATTTCGATTGGAAGGCACAGAGAATGCGCATTGAAAGGGTGCACTCCATTATTGACCATTCGAATTGGGGTAATCCAGAGCATGAAGTGATATACGAAGTTGCTGGAAATGGGCTGATGTCTGCTTCAGAATTCACTGGAGGAGACTTCCACAAGCGTGTCAAGGACTATGGCAAGGTTGTGAGGAGAATGGGAGGATGGCATAACCTGAGCCAGAATACAATCAAAATGTCGGATCAGATCTTGGGCGCTCTTGAGGAATGCCCATACATGCATGAGGGACACCTCAGAGTCTTCCTGTTCATGAGGTCAATCCTGAACACGTCACTGAAGGCCAGTGCTTCAAGACAACAGATGAAGTTCGACCACATTCAACGCAGTGTCGTTTCAATGCCCAGCTTCATCGAAGATGTGACAATGGGAAAGGTCAAGAATGGGTTTGAGATCATATGCAATGATGGCAAGGTGCTGGATGCACACTCTGCTGATAACCTGGTCAGCGGGTTTGCAGACAGAATTGACCGGGATGTGGCAGCCATGTTGTTGGTTCAAATGGCAGCAATATCTGGCGACAACAGGATTTATGTGGCAGATACCATTGTAGATGGATCAGATGTGTATTTGGACTACAGCTTCAAGACCAAACAGTGGAGCGAAACCACTATCTCAAAGAACAGATTGCTTGAGAATCCCAACGTTGCGTCACGTGCAGATGCCGGAGGGTTGTACGATGTGTTCAAGAGTTCCAATGGCTTGGGATTGTCTGGGAAGTCCCACCAGGAGCGAGTGTCTGCGGATATGGTACCCAGCACATTGACTACGTTCAAAATCCTAAGGCAGCACATGATGAAATACCTGTTGGGCTACATGGGAGTGTCCATCATCTTCATTGTGTTTGGGGAGGCGTTCAACAAGTCCAGCGCATGATGAACTACCTGTTGGGCTACATGGGAGAGTGCATCATTTCCATTGTGTTTGGGGAGGCGTTCAACATGCCAGCACAGGAACGGAATGTGATTTGCTGCTGCGAGTTCCCATGGACCCAAGTTTTTTTTGTTTTGACTCAGCACAAGACATTTGTGATAAGGGCAGATAGAATCAAGATTTTGAAGCACAAGGGTGCTGGTAGGATGTTCAACTCACGATGAACTACCTGTTGGGCTACATGGGAGAGTGCCTCATTTTCTTTGTGTTTGGGGAGGCGTTCAACATGCGAGCACAGTAAGGGAGTGTGGTTTGCTGCTGTGAGTTCCGGGAGAGTGCATCTTTTTCATTGTGTTTGGGGAGGCGTTCAACATGCCAGCACAGTAACGGAGTGTGATTTGCTGCTGTGAGTTCCTATAGACCCAAGCCTTTTTTGTTGTGACTCAGCACAAGACATTTGTGATAAGGCAGATAGAGTCAAGATTTTGAAGCACAAGGGTGCTTCAGACATCTGATAGAATGTTCAACTCTTCCAACTAGGTGTGTCCCAGATGAGATTGGTGTAAGTCAAAACCATCGATTGAACCGGAGCGATTTGTAAAGTTAGCTTGTGTGCATTCCTTTTATTGGGGATTTGTTAATGCACCGGCCCGCATGTCGCACATCATGTTCAGGCCTTTCAAGTGTGCGCCCCCATTGCATATCATGCGCCTGGGAACAGGAGCCAAGCCCCTGGGGTTCCCAAGCGTGTTCCTGAGCCGCTATGGAGCCACAGGAGGGTGCCGTTTCCATTGCAAGTGCGTGTGGCTGCAAGTTCCGCGGGTCCTGCAAAAGAATGCTGGATGGTCGTCGCGCTTTTGGAACGCACAATCGACGCACGGCATCCCCATCTACCAGCTGCATTCAATACTCTCCGAAGCACGTTGCCAGGCATTTGAGGGTTTGATTGAGAACCCAGAAGTGCGAAGCCCGTTGTGTTGTGCTTCCTTGAAGGCGCGCAGTGAAGATACGAAATTCAGAATTGTGGCTATGAAAATGCTTGCCTATAAGCCTGAACATTTCCTTAGGTCCCCCTTGGCAACAAATGAGCTGAAAGCATACAATCTGTGCGCCATTTCTCTGCGCCATTTTGTGAGGGAGTGCTTTCAATTCGCGTGCACCAAAGTGCTCAATTTCCTCCAAGTTTAGGCATTTAGGTATGAAAGCTTGCTGGACGGCACGAATGACTTCATGCAACGGCGCAAGGGCAAAACATCGAAGGAAATATGCGTTGGCCAAAGGGTGGCTGGTTCAACATGTTTGGGGCCATTGGTGCGACGGAAGGGTACTGGATGGGGTACGCAATACTTGCACCAAAGTCGAGCCATTGCACCGGAAAAATGCTTCCCTTGGGCCGTTGGCGACATCCTGGGCGCATGCAGAACGAGAGCGAGAGATCCCTTGAGACAGTTTGGGTCACTCGTACACAGCGGGAGCATATGTCCAGCAGCGTGAACATGTACGCGCTCGTGTATGGTCACCCCGCATGTACTGGACATGACCGCGCCTCTCGAACGGGGCACCTGCGTCGATGTGGGACAAGGCTCGAGGTGAACAGCCAGAAGGCAGTGGCTGGCACCAAGGAAGGGACCGATCCCCGACCCGCGTGGCCACCGGCTTCCAACTCGCGGACGTCGGTCCATACTGTCGTGCGCCAAATGGCACGTGATGCGTACCATAGCAGGCTGCTGTTTAACGAAAACACATGCGTGCCAATTAATCTGCTGGTGGCGGGGAGGAACGTGTACAACTCAAGCGTTTGCGAGAGGCTGAGCAGCTGCAACTTGCTGGTGGCGCGGCGCTGGTGCGGTTCGTTGCTCCGGCAGCAACAAACAGAAAATGTAGAGCGTTGACATCTGGGGTGTGTAACAATCTGCGCAACCACCAATGCTCAACGGCACTGAGGTCGGCCTCCGATTCAAGCAAGCTGTCCTTCAGTGTTGCCTTTGCGCTGCCATCGCAGCGCCAATCACTTGAGATCGGTTGTGCTCCGTGTGGCTGCCTCACCAGCTCACTTGACTTGAGTCCTGACCATTTGCGTTTGTGCTCTCCTGATGGCAAGGCATGTCAAGAATTTTTGCCCCCTCGTTGTGCTGCATATTCTTTCTCAAGGTAAAGGACACCACGGCGTTCGGGATGTGCCGCAGTTGAATACGAAACACACACTGTGAAGTGTGCCGAGTTGTGCGAACGTGCCGCCAGGCCTCTTGGCAAGGCTGCTTTAACCAACATACTTCAATTTCTATTTCCGTGACAGCAATTGCTTCCGTCTGTGGTAAATGGAAGAACACTCGAGGGATCATGGGAATGTTATTGCTGTCTTCTCATTAACAGTTCCAGGTGTTGGGGCGTGATGGAAAGCAATTTCTTAACTTTCGCCTGGAGACAGATCTGCTAAGCGTTGCACTTTGACAGAGTGCTGGATCTGTATACCAATATAAGAGAGGTCTGGTAGGTTGTGGATGGAAGGAGTTCCTCAAGTGCTGTTCCCAGCCAAGCATGAATGTGAATGAATCCTACCAGACATGGGTGCCCAGGTGTTATACACAGATATGCCACTAATACCACACTGCTGTCTCCCTTCCATAGGCACGGGACCAGTCTTCAAAATGCTGCCAAACACTGCACAAGTTTCACGGTGTGGCAATCCTGCAGTGACCTGTACCACCACTAGGACAGTGTTTGCCAAGTTTGACTGTTGCAGTTAATGTGGAATGGGCCCTTGCAGGCAGTGCGGAAAAGACATAGCGGTTGTGGCACTTGCTGCTACCAAAATCTGGCAATTAAACAGCATCATAATTCTGGCCGGCAATGCACTCATTGAGGATTTCTGAAGTACTGCTTGACTGTCCTGTTGCACCAAACAACAGACTGTAGCTTTGTTCGTAGGCAGCGCTTTTTGGTGGAGCTTGGGTACATGTGTTAACATCAGAATTTGTGCACCTGCATGTGAGCACCTGTCCTTGTTGGTGAAGAATTGTGGCTTTTGGCATTGCTACTGATGTTTCCTTGCTTCTCTTTTTAGTTTGAGCCCTTGGCAACTGAAGACTGCCCACCATCTGGTGAACAAGGCTGTGAGATGCGCAAAAGTTGCTGACGTTTGGGGTGGTGCCCTACCACACCAATAGGGATGCAACACACCAAGCTGACCTCTCCTGCTTTGACCTCGAGTGTTAGCGTCCTGTGTTGTCCCCTCCCAAGAGAACTAGACCAACTCAACTGAGCTGTCACGTCTCCCAACTGCTGAATCTTTCACCTCACCACAGCAGGCTCAGGTGATGCCTGGATTGGAGGAATGCATGCATGCAGGGACATGTTGATCCCACAGCGATGTACAGGTCATGCTTATCTGCATAGCACTGCACAGACACTGGATTCGAATCGAAGTTTTGCTGTGTACTTGAAGGTGTGACATGCTTGAATTTGAAAGGCTGCACAAGTCCTGTTTGGAGGAAAGGCGAGGGCTGCTTCTGAGCTGCATGGATGAAGTGGCAATCGTGCTGGCACCATTGAATGCTATTGGTGAGCCGTTTGCATAAAGAGAGCAGATGGGTAGTTACAGGCCCAGAGCAATGTCCGAATTTGATGCTTCAGTGTCGTTGGACCCCAACAGCATTGGAAACCTGTTGGGCAACAGCACCAGGGAGTTGCCACACTTGCCTCTGATTGCTTGCTTGTACATCTGTTGGCCTGCAGGGCATGGCTTATGTTAGCATTTCTGTTTGCCAAAAGGTCCCATCTTGTGCAACACATATGAGACTGACAGAAAAATGGGATTAGGAATTTCTGTACCAGTTGCCAATAACACGCATTGACTTCTGCTCTGACATAGATTTTTGTATTGCTGTGGGTCAGATAACAACAAAAATATCCTCATTTTCTGGGGGTATTGTATCGCATCTTCATTCAGTGCAACGCTATTCGACCATGGCCAATTGCCTCTCATTCTGGATCTGGACGAAACTGTTGTCATGGGACACTCGACACACACCATGAAACAAAAAATGGCATCTCTGGAGCAGGAGATGTGGGTTTGCAGCTTCACACTCAGAAAACTGCATTCTTTGTTGTGGCTTGCCATGGCTGGATTGATGCGCAGTGTTGTCTCTTCATACTGCAAATGTCATGGGCTCTTGGGCCATTTATCATTTTGATCTGGCGCTGCCTCACTATGGGTATTCAGCAGCGACAGATAATGGGTTATTTAGGTCCATTGTGCTTGCCTACTGTGTGTTTTGTGGTACATTCGTATTGGGTCACATCAAACATCTGGCTAACCTTGTGCCGACTGTTGGTGCTGCCAAGTTTTGGACTGTTCTCTCAATAATTGAACTGAATGCTGGGGCTTGAACTGTGCAGGTGCTTGTGTATGTTGTTGGCAGTTCAATCAGGTCTGTTCCTTTCTGTTTCCAGTCCCGTTGTCTGCTGCATGGCAATAGGAGCTATAAAAAGCTTTAGAATGCACCTGAATTGGCAATGTGTGTGCTTATGACAGAAAGCGTGCTCACTCTGGCCATGCATTCTGTGACTGATGTGCGACTGTGCATGCCAGGGAGGACATCATCAAGAACCATCCAGAAGAAAGGTGGGTGTTGTTGTTGTGGAGTGTGCACAGTTCAATGTGTCACATGTCTGTCCCATGTCAGTTGATCTACCAATATGTCCGCAAGCTCAACTTCCATCCCCCGAATGGAGTGACCAGCACTGTCTGCCAAGAGGCGAATGTGGCATGCTGAGTTGGATGGGTGCTGCCGTCAGGAAAGACAGCAGCATTGTTCACATATACCTGCATGTATGAGCAGGAAGTAAGGACAATGGCACAGTTGTTGGGTGGAGAAAGTGGTGATGTCTGCTAGTGGGACGTTGCTGCGATGAACACATATTCAGTAGCCAGAGCAGGTGCTTGAGTGTTTGATTTGTCTCTGCCATTGTGAAATCGTCTCTGAGTAAGCAGGTTGCACCTGAGGTTACATAGAAATGTGCTGTGGAGCACTGGAGCATCGGTTCATCAAGTGGCAATCCACTTGTCCCCGCGGCACAATTGGCCATGCCCAATTCACTCAACTATTCATGCATTGTATGCCTGACGAACTGCCATTTCATCTTCCAGAGAATGTAGTATCGGACTGGATAATCATTTGCTAAATTACCGCAGCTCCACCTAACATTGCATCGTGCAATGGAAGCTGTACACAGCAAGCATGTTGTGAGTGTTCACATCGGCTCTGAATGCCTGTTGTTCGTTGCTGCAGCAGTTGCTGGCTGGAGTCCAAGAAGTCTCAACACAAATGGCTTGAGAAGCACCTGGGGCTGTTGGATGGATTCAGGCGGTTCGATACAGTGCAGTGCGATGGGAAACTACACAAGGCAGTGTAAGGGACTGTCTTGGCTGCCTGTCGTTCTTGAGTGGCTTTTGCATTTCATCCCAAGCACCTGATTACGTACTGAGAAAACTGTGAAAGGGTGTGAAAGCGATCCAGAAGATTTGCCACGAGAGTGGCATCCACAATAGCACAGACAAGTTGTTGTTGAGGAATGCAGTCAAAAGGATGTTGTCATTTGTTTTCCTTGATTTGCAAACTGCCGTTCCTTTTGCTGGCAGTAACGGCACGATGATTGCCATTGTGATCTCATACATAGGATGGGCGTATCTGGGCGCAGCAAACTAGTTTTTGCAACGTAATGCTCCCAGTGGCCTCACTGCATTCGTGGGGTTTCGCGCCATCAAGTGCAGTTGAAATACTGGACATTGCGTACAGAAATCAAGGGAGCATCTGACAGCTGGGCAAGAACATGGTATTCTGCTGATTTGTAGAAACCACAGTTCGGACACAAAGATGCTAGTGCATTGCACGTGCAGCTGTGTTGAACAAAATGTTGGACACAGTTTTGGCACAGTGCTGAACACAGTGTGTTTCCATGCGATGTTATCCATGGCAAGAGATTGGACGAAGTTTTCGAGCCATAATCTTCCCTTTGGCCACCGTCTGCATTGCAGATGTGTGGTGACTGGATAAAATGAACCAACGACAGAAATCGGTTATGGGTGCGCACTTGCCTGTTTTTGCCAGCACCGTACAAGGACTCCACTTTGTCTTTCGAAGGCAGACTTAAATATAGGAATTTATCAACAGCAGGTGAACTACCCAAGGTGGCCATGGGGCCACAAACGCACAGATGCAGGAGTGATGGGAATCGATGAGTCGTCGGCTTGGAACGGATGTGCTTGGTGCATGCTGAATTCGCCTCTTATCCATGTCAACCACTATCTTGTTTGCATATACCCACTAGTTCGTGTGCATTAGAATGATGAGACAACAGCTGGATTTTGCAAAGCATTATTAGCCGCGTTGAATTTGCACTGGCCTTTGGAAGTGTGCATGCATGGACGTCATGGCAGAAAAGCTACAGCTGCTAATGACTGGATGTTGGAGCACTGACTCTCGTGGATGCATTGCGGCGTCAGTTGGGCTCCTCACTGTTGCTCCATGTGCGCAGGGTTGAGGAGGCTATAGATGTGCAGGACGGCTGCCTTGTGCAGCGCCCTGTGGTCCGTTTGCCAGAGCAAGGTTTGTTCTTCACACAGATAAAACCAGGGAATAAGAATACCTCAATGATAATATGTGTTCGCCCAGGATGGGGGAAACTAAAAACGTACCTTGAGGACAACAAGCGAAGGTGAGTGCCCAGTAGCAAAGGGGTTGGGGGCGTTACAATGTCCAGTGGGCATTCCATCGTTGTTTTGTGGGAATTTGTGACGATCTGCCACCAGGTACCTGCAACTGTCATCTGAATCGTGGGAATGTGCAGCAGCGACAGTGACTGTCGAATTCGCACAGGTCACCAACAATATTCTGAAGGTGTCTGAACAAAATCCTATTTGCCTTGACTTACAGCAGCGAATTCTTTGGTCACAATCTTGCCTCTCACACGAGTAACTCTATGTGGCACATTCAATTGCTTGGTTACATCTGTTCAGCCGTACTGAAATGGCGTTCTTATCAAATATAATCCCCTTTGCATAGTTGTTTGTGGTGATGTGTCACTTCCTTCCCTCTGGCTAACATGTCTTGTGACACCCATTTTGTCATTGCAATGGCAATTTCATTAACAGGTTGGTATGCATTCCATAAAGGTGATGTACTTGGGCATGATGCTTAAAACAAACGGCAACTTGGCGTGCAGGTGATGCCACAACACACAAGCTGTGGAAATTAAGATTTGTGGGATTTCTACTGTCGGTTTTACATGATGACGTCTCACCGTAACACGCTTGATGAATAAGATCAAATTTTGCCTGAGCATACTATGGAGTAGCAAGGAGTTTCTTTGGGGCAATGCAGGTGGCGTATTTCTGTTTGTACAACAGCGGAGCGAGAGTATGCCCTGGAAGTATGGCGGCTGCTGGATTCAGAAGCCACTTTGCTTCCCATACCTGATCGAGTTCAGAGGATTGTAAACATGCCAAAAAATGGAAAAAAGTCACTTTGTGCTGCACTACACATAGAAATATCGCAAGATGGCATACCATCAACGTCGAAATTGTCGCCTATGTGCATCGGTGTATCAGGCATGCCATTCAGCCTGGCACTTGATGACAGGCCCGACGCCTGGCAGGAACAAGACAGGCAAAATGTATGCAAGGTGAGAGTTGGCTTGAGTTGTTCTGTTGGGACAATAGAGGCTTGCTGACATATGGATGTTGCTGTTTATTTCACCATGGATGTATTTGTGGTATTCTTCATTCAGTACAATTGGATGATGTCTGTCCAGGAGGTCCAGACACACACCCGCCTGGAGTGCTCTTTTCCCCCTGTCAGGTGTACAAATGTCAGCGCACATGTGTGGGCTCTCATGAATGCTCAATTCCTCTGTGTATTCGTTTGTCCAAAGCATGCAGGCAGTCCACACACATATGACACAATGTTTGTGCACTTGCCAATACAAGGTAGTCCATATGTGTCTTATCTGTGTGCTGCATAGCATGGCGTAGCCTTGATCCTCCGATTCGATTGTTGGGTAAATATCACACGAGCATTTAGGTGTGAGACTTGGGGTGTTTCTCCTCACTATTGGCCACTTTGGAGTGTGCTTGCCTGACTTCACAGCTGTGGATGTGTTGATCTTCACAATATGCGCATTGCCTGCACATCGTAGTCCACATTACCCACATCATTCCATGCCATCCTACATATATTTCTGTAATCTGACATCTTTCGGTTTTTAGTTCTACCGCTGTATTTCTGGATGGTGCATTGATGTTTTTTGCCTAATGGATATGGCCACATGGTGGGCATTTGCCTTCACACTGTCAGGCTGTGGGAGTGATAACAACCACAAATAGAACTGAATGAAGTTGCACCTTGCCCTTGGAACACATGCAACATCTTGCACTGAATAGTTTGGTAAGATTGCGCATTTCTCTCTGATGTTGGTTTGAATGGGGAAGAAAACGCTTCGTTCAATTGTGAAGAAGAGAATTGCGTGGCTGATTGGGGCAATACCACGCACGTGACCAACGGAATAGATCAGGCTGGTCCGGTCAGTACGCAATGCTCCAGTCTTTCTGCGCTGTCACTGTTGGTGGAATCAATAGTGGTGGGAACACCCTGTTGCCACATTACATGGAATGCACATACCACTGTCAACAGTGCCGCTCAAAGTACATGGCGGCATGTTGTGCCCCATTGTCTGATAGAATCCAGTCTATTTCATCATCAGTGTGAAACACCCAGTTTTCCGACGCCTGTCGATACTGATGCTACGTGCTATTCTGCCCTCAGGTTAAAAGGTTTGCAAAGCTTCCTTGGAAAGCAGAAGAGGAAGAACGAGAGATGCTTCGATTGACTCGTCTGCTTCGGAGGGCGGGTGGCTGTGTACTGGGCTGCCAGGCGAGCATGGGCTTGCTCTGAAGTTATGCAATTGTTGATGCGTCGATTTTGATGTTGGCGTTAGTTCTGCTTGCTTCGTCGTGTGCTGGCCACCGGCCCTCTCGGATTGCTCACATCCCACACACATTCAGCATTTGCCTTTGCGCTGGGCACCTTGCTGCCTGCTGTACTAAAATCTGCGCCAGGAGTTCGCAACTTCCATTGCTACTTGCTGAACATAGCGCAGCAATTACAGGTTTGATGCAAAGTGGAGTTGTTTCCAGCCTGTACAACATCCGTATTACGAGTTTCCAGCAGCTGTGCTGGAGGGCTGAACCATGGACGGACACTGAACGTTGAGATTCAGTGAAGCTGTCAGTTGTCTCCAAGTATACACATGCCTAAACTGTGATCGATCAGACAGTTGGCATTGACCTCAGGTAGCGAAAATGCCATGGCCAGCAAGGCATGGTGGGCCACAGGCTTTTGGAACAGTCAATTGGACCTAGCACCTTAGTTTTCACATGTTCCCTTGAATGAACCAGTTCACTCCCCAGCCACTGCCACACTACAGTACTGTAGAGTCAGTGGCTGGGGCAAGTCTGGCACCCACCAGCACTTGTTGCATTCTGTAGAATGCTTCCCAGTTTGTTTTCTGCGCTGTTTCAGACATGGGTACCAAAAGCCAGAGCTGCACCGATCCCTTCCATCCTTAACGTCCTTGCTTGGCATGCATAATGTACTTGCAGGCCCAAACCAGAGTTTGGGGTAGTGCAGTTGGGTCAATGCATTGAGGGCACAAAACGATATTTGTGTGGCTGTGCGATGCATGTGCATCAGTAATGGAAATAATCTGTGTTGCACTGCTGGTATGCCTGGCTGGATTCAAATCAACACGTATCCAATCGCCTGCCAATTGAGTTATTGAGTTTGTAGATGCAGAGGTGTGTCCACATGAAAACCGTTGTGTCCTTCTGCCGCTGCCAGATCAAGTCGCTCGAAAAAGTGTTTGGCAGTAATGCTTATGATGAGGGTAGGGATCCAGACTTCTTACTGTCCCGATCCCCTTTCTGTTTCAATGCAACCAGGCTGCCTCCGAGGGAATGGCTGCCTTGATGAAGTCCGGAATTACGGATGCCAACAGAATGAACGAAATGGTGGCAGTGCTGAATGCTTGTCCCATGGTGAAAGACGTTGTGGAGGGTGGGGCACGAGTACAGAGGCGCCTGTCTAATTGCGTGGAAGCCTTTCAAGGACACAAGCCGCGACTGGTAGGATTGGCGCTTGTGCAACTCGGCACGACTCGCCTGAATGTGCAGAAAATCGTGGCATGCCCTCTCGTTGCGCTGGCATACAGACTGGGACATGCAGGGTATCCCTGCCAGCGATCTTCACCATTGCGCTCCCTGCTAGAACTGTCATTGTTGCATATGTGGTGCTGTTACCCACAAAATGGCTGCTGGAAGAGCTCAACCTGCTCGACTTATGAGCAAAGCACTGCGGCAATGCGTGGTGAGAAATGTCTGCTGGAGCTGTTTCTTGTACCCTCCCTTATGAGGACTGACATGAGCAAGCTGTGCTTGATATGAAAAGGTGCATGATGTCGCCATGGTAGCAAAGAGGGACCTACAGTTGCCACATCAAAGTTCTTCAACACTTTGAAATTCGAGTGCACGTTGCTTGCTCAGAACCTATGCTGCGTTATTGACCTGACGTAATTGTCACACACTTCCTCACGCGTAAGCATTTCATGTGCATATTAGCAGCCTGGCTTTGACCCTGCTGCGGTTTCACAATATGAACACTCATTGGACAATACCCATTCCCCCTTCCCTCTAGACCGAATTTCGGTTGCGCAGCTGCTGAGGGCGCCTTGATGTGTGGCGTTGCAGTACATTAAACAGCGAAGTGGGCATGCTCTGCCATTGTCTGCGAAGGCCCAGAACAGGAAATGCATGGCGGATGGCACATATAGAGTAGAAACAAGCAACGGATATGTAATTATTGACAGGTGCAAATTTCCAGATCCAAATTCGTTTGTTAAACCTAGGGAGAATTGAGGCCAGAGAACGTTGCCAGACACGAGTGTACATGGTCTGGAGCACTTTGTGTCGTAAATGCTATCAACATGCAAAATCCGGTAGGCTGCCGCTGCCACATAGGAAGGCCGCTCGAGTGGTAGTTGCTCTGCAGGACATGCAGCCCCCAATAGATGTCTTCATGTGCCCGAAGATGTCTTCAAGGTGGATTCTTGTCCCAGGGGCAGGCGACATGTACATGTTGAAGACGGGTGGCGGATGCAAACCCTGAGTGTGGGAAGCTTCAGTGGGCATGTGGTACTCCGCGGCGCACTAGTTCAAATAGTGTGGTGCTGTCTATCGATTGGCCGTGCCAGAGCCAGCGCGCGATTGAATTGGTGTGGCACATTTTCACCGGTGTCTGGTTCCACAAGCCCGCTCATCCAGCGGTGACTGCATTCGTTGGCAGACAGCTTTGCTGCATGCTCTGCACACACGGGTGATTTGATTTCGTCTTGACGGCGACCCCAACCCACCGTCTGTTGCAAGGCGCGTTACTTTAGGACCATTCACCACCTTCTGGCTTTTGGCCAAGGGTAGTTGCACTGCAAGGATCCAACACCACACAACAACATTGGACAGACCAGTCTGAGCGACAGTGGCCCCCCTATCGTGCCCACACTGCTCTTGATTGCACCCTAGTGGAATCGGTTCGTATCAACCAAAAATTGAAAAGGCCTTTCACGTTACGCGGTGCGCCATTCTGAATGGAAGCAAGTGCGGCCGCTGATTCCAAGTGGGCCACGATCTAGCCCATGTGGCCTTGCCCTTGTGGATTACCTTCCCAGCAGTGCGCTGGCGTCGGCCTAGCTTCAATGACAGGGCATCTGACGAGTGCAGCTATGAGATATTGAAATTTGCCTGCATGCCGCGATCGGACGTGAGTGGGGGTCCCTAGCACGGTCCCCAGATAAACCGCGGGCAAGCTCAGGAAACGCGACGGGAACTTGGCATCTTTTTCAAGTTGCCATTGACGAGACAGAGCAGTGCCCTTGCGCCTTGCAGGCGATGACGAGCGCAATTGCCGCGAAGAACGTTTTCCATGAAGGCCTTGTGCAATTGGGCTTGTCCCCTTATCCAGGCCCACTGATTAGTCCCATCAATGCTGGCCAAGAGACGTTGCTAGTTATCAAGGCAAGGCGGCACCCGACAGCTCCATAGTTTGCCCGGTAAAACCTGCGCATGCCATGACATACTTGCTAAGCCATCCAATAACTGGTGACGGTGCTTATGTGGTGGGGTAGGATGGTAAAAAGCCACGCAGGATGGGCCCAGAACACGGCACAGTCAGCGCACGATCACCCAGGCCCGACAGCGACCCGCGGTGGTTTCCCTCCTATTCTGGAGGCTTTTTTGTGCAGTGCTGCGCTTTTGTTCCCAGTTCTGCGCTGCAGCCGTGTGTGGGGCTTGTCAGCCATCTGAAGGGCCTTTCCCGACCTTCCGCTGCGCCGCGGTGAAATGGGCGGCACCGGGAGGGAAGGCGCAGGGAAGCCGCCGTGCCGGCTGCAGCGCCTGCCGGTGGCGCTCTGCGTCATGAGCTGCGCGGCGGGCTTGTTGCTGGGCAGCATTCGGCGAGTCCACACGGACCTGGACCCCCACCTCGTGGCCCTGAGGCCCGCGGCTGCGACGCAAGGCGCCTCGGGCTCCTTTCAACAGTGTGGTTCCGCCGGTCGCTGTGACGGCCAGGGGAATGGCGCACGGGTCGGCGATGCTGCGTTGGAGGCAATACTGGTGAGCGAGGCCGGCGCGGAAATGGGCGACAGCGCGCGCCCCACACTATGTTTCGTTGTTTGGAGATGCGGGGCGCCGTCCGGTGTGCAAGCTGCAACCGAAACTATGCCGTCAGTCTGTACTACAGACTCTGTAGTTCCATAGTTTACGCGTTTTCGAGCAAAACTGGGTGTACACGATGCGTTTGCGCCGCAAATAAAATATGACTTATTTCCAATATACGTAAACGTCTGTTGTTATCAGGTCGGTGAGCCCATCGAATCGGGTGGTACGCTGCAGGCACCGATTTCCAGGGACAAAGAAATTCTCGTCGCTGTGACAAATTCTGCCCTCATCAACGCTGACGGCACGTTCGGGATGCTTCGCACCTGGCTGGACGCGGTCCAAAATGCGGGAGTCGTTAACTACGTCGTGGTGTGTCTGGATGACAGGGTGAGTCAACCCTTGCAAGGCCAATTGCCAAGTGGCCTTTCTCTCACAAGAAGCAAGCGTGCGCAGCTTTGGCTCAATTGCAACCGCCATTTTTCCGTTTTTTCTGCACGCGTATGTCGACTGTGGCCCTTGCGTGGTGCGAGTACCGTAATATATTCAACCCTTCCGCATCTAACGATATTGCCGGTGCACTTTTTGCTCCGCATTTTTTGTGAGAGCGCTATTTTTAGTCATGTTGAGTCATTTTTTGTGAGAACGTTATTTGTGAGAGCGTTATTTTTACTTTTTTCACTTTGCTTCGCAAAAATTCTGTTAGAAGAGCGCTATATTTTTTCTCACCAAGAAAAGGCCAAGCGTTACGTTGCCATGTGGAAGGGTTGGATTTGCCACTGCAAAGAATGTGGTTGACGCCTCGTTCGCCTCCAGAGCAGCTTTGTCTAGCGTTGCGCTGGCAACCGTGCCCGATGGCTTCTTATGAATCGCTTCTGCAGTGGTCCCACATCTCAGGCCACTAGATGTTGCAAATCGCCATGTCGCAAGGGCAACCTTGAAACGCAAATGGGATGGACGTCCTTCAGTGCAGAAGTGTGCATACCATATGGTGGGGAACCTGCCACCGTTCATTGGCCGACTATTTTGTGAGCACATGTTAGGAAAAGTTGGCGAGTCAGTCCAAGCCTTATTGCGGGCAAATGCGCAAGGATCCTCTGCTGTGCCTCTTCCTCTTCCGTTCTCTAAGCTCATTTATAGCTCGTGACTGCGGTTTGAAGGCATTTTTATCCATGCGATTGTATCCCTCAGGTGGCAGCTACGATGGAGAAATTGGGTGTGCCACACTGGCGGAAAGACCCCACTCGCACTGCCGACAGCGCAAACACAAACCACGGTATATCAAACCTGAAGTTCCAAATCATAAGGGTACTGAAATTTCAAATGTGGGAAACAGGAAATCGAGATTGATAGTTGCCGGTCTGTCGCAAGCTGCCGCGCGCTCAAGGATGATTAGCTGCGTTCAAGAGCGCTGCTTGGCCAAATGCAGCTGCTGGCCTGTCGAGTCATAGAACGATTTAGTCGAGGCACATGGCCACATGGCTTCAACAGATTGTATTTCCGTATGGTATAAAATGATAATGGGTGCTGTCGACATCCATGATGACGACCGGGATGTCCAGGCGTCCCGAACGGCCTATCTAGACCACCACGCAGCTCCGTATTCCTATCATCGCGATGTTTTGGGAGGTAGTACCGGAGTAGCACCTCTGGTACCTTGAACTACACATGTACGTGTTGATGTGCGCCAGATGCGTACGGCTTTGCATGATGCGTTGCTTGAAGTTGACGGACTGAGCGGCTGCCATTCGCGTTCGAAGTTCTGCCGTGCGTGCCGCGCAGGAGTTCCTGCTTCTTGGGTATTCTGTGTTGCTGTCGGACGTCGACGTGGTCGTCTTGAAGAACCCATTTGATCGCCTCTACAGAGACAGAGATGTGGAGGGGATGAGCGACGGCTTCGATCCAGTCACAGCTTACGGTGATGCCCCTCGCGGGAGCAACGCGATTTCAGAATCTGGGCAACAGCTCCATCAAAGCTGAGAATGAAAATTCAAAATTTGGGGAAATTGCATTTGCCCTGCACTCGCGCCACCCAGGTCACACGAGACAAAACCTAACCTAACTGTAGCTCCCACTTTTCTTCGCTCTTTGTAACGTATGTAATTTTCGCATAGAATCACTTGCATTTGTTAGCTACATTGAGGTGTACATTGCACCGTCCAAATTTCACTGACCCGATTTTCTTCCCTGCAGGCTACGACGATGTTTTCGATGACCCCCTCATGGGGTGGTCGCGGTACGCCCACACCATGAGAATATTCGTGCTGAACTCGGGATTTTTCTACATCCGCCCCAACTGCCGAACCGTGGCGTTGATGGAACGGATCACATCTCGGCTAATGAAAGAAACTGCCTGGGATCAGGCAGTTTTCAATGAAGAGATCTTCTTTCCGTCTCATGACCAGTTCAACAGCTCCCAGGTTACGGTGTGTGAGCAGCTTTGCTGCCTTGAAATCCAAAGCAATATGGGGGCTGCAGAGCCTCAGAAGACATATCCCCTTCATGAGCCCGTCTTCAAGCACGTGTTATCATCAGTGATGATGAGCGTCGAGTCTTCCATGAATTGGTGGTGATGAGGGAAACGGCCAATCGAATGTCTAATTGTGAGTCCTAATTTAACACACACTGTTTAGGGGGTTAAGCTTGGTTGTCTTGTTTCAGATGATATTTGTGTGGTCAGGCACTTTTTAATAGATAGCAGCATTGTTTACTAAAGTTTTTGTGGACGGTGCTCCATGCCAGCAATTAAAAATTCTTTCTTCCTGCTGAGTTTTCGAACAGCCACAGCAACATACATTCTGACACCGTATTGCCACGCCTCTCGCTTGGATCTGATGACTCATTTCATCATTCGCAGGTTCGAATTTTGAACATATACGATTTTGTCAACTCAAAGACGCTTTTCAGGACGATGAGGAATGAGGAGCAGTACACGCATCACACCCCGGTGGCGGTTCACGTCAACTACCACCCGGACAAGTGGCCGCGTATGAAGGCCGTTGTGAAGAGATACGTGGATGGAGACGTCGATGCCCTGAGCTCATTTCCAACGGGATCGTGCCACGGCGCACCCAATTGCTGACGCTTTCGGATTCCAACGCTTCACGGTCCCTCAGCACCGCGAGGCTGGCAGTGTGGCGTGTTCTTCAACAGCCGTCACACGTACTTCGGAGCTACGTCGAAGGACTGAAAACCGCGTTCCCGCTACAATTTGGTAAATATTGAAAATGTTTCACATGTTCATGGCCATAGCGCTTGGTAAATTAGGAAGGTGACCTGAGGGCCTTGGTTTGCGCCTGTGCTATGAATAATAGGATTTTCGATTCCTAACGAGTTATGCTATATTGTGAGACTCTATTTATTGTTGGGATTGTTAATTTGGACATTCGATAAAGTAGGGGAGATATGGGCAATATTTTACTTCTTCTACCGAAGCACATTGTATTGGTGGAGAGCTTACCCACGGTACAGTGTAAGATCTGGTAGCCAAGGAAAGCGACCCATGAAGTGGGAAACATGCAAAGCTGATAGAATAAGAATGCGCTAATCAAAGTCAACCGCGGCGTCGCCCAAGAAAAGGTGCACAGAAGAGGTAGAAAGTCTGGGCGCAGCCACCATCAGCTTTACGACACATTTAGATCTCACTTTCGGAGCGAACTTCATGTTTAAGCGCAGAGGACGACGGTCGCGTTACGACCTGACGCTGTTGTAGATTCGCTGTCAGCTTTGATTGAGTACCATGAGCCGATGATTTCTCTGTGGACCTGTGGGAATTTACCCAACACTGCGCCCATGTTGCGGGGAATAGCAAAACATTGTGGATCATGTTCAAATGACTAGAGCATCCCGTGCCGTACAGAGCTTCACTTGAAGATGCAGCCATTGCAACAATTGTACTGATGACTGTACCCTATTCCATGTTCTTCACTCACGACGGCTATCTCTTCACAAGGCGCCCTGTCTCCACAAATCTTGACCAGTCTAGAGCTCCCTGACGCAAAAGTTATAGGAATCCAATGAGGCATGCAGCCGAACTCCTCGCACATCCACTGATGCCGCAACGCCGTTTCAAATGCGGTTACGACAATTTGTTTGGAACCTCGACAACTTTGAAATATTTTTTTGACAGATAAACAATATTATCAGATGGTTGCGGAGAATGCACTGTCTACGATACAGGATATGGAAATCTGTAATTAAGTGCGCCTTCGGTGGCCACTCCGACAATGAAGGGTTTGAGTATTCCAGCAGCAGGCATGTTGGCCAACAGGTCTCAAAGTCACTGCAAAAGCACCGTGGAATCACACTTCAAATAGCGTCAGCAATACCGAGTCAAAACTGCAATGATACCCACTGCTCGTCAGACCACCAAACACCGCTCCTGTGCTGGGATACGATATGGTGAGATTCGTGTAGATGTTCGCGCGTAACCGGTCTTGCAACACCGGTTGCAATTGCAGGCTTTCCGGAATACAACTACATCATGCCATACCATCATGGGCAATCGTGCAACATCTTGCCTTAGTGGAGCTACCAATGTTTTTCCAGTGCAGGGCGTTGGGGCGTTTCTGGGCGGCCGGAATACTGAAACTTGGAAACCGCGCTGCATACTCAGCAGTGATTGCACCGCCGAAACATCCCCCGGCCTCAGTTACATCATGCAACTGTGCTCCTGCACCCGGTTCCTTCTCCGTCACCGCCGCTCGCATGCACACAGGGGCCCACCCTTCCATTGCCAATTTCTCCCTGGCCAGGAGTTTTTCCTGGTGCATTGCGAAGCATCAAAAGGGGCAAATCAGGCGGTCTGCCATAAAAATCTGGCCACAAGTTGTTCCGGTGCTTCTCGAGTCGGCGCTTTGTATGCCACCCATTTCAATTCATTGAATCTAGCTGGAACCAGGCAATATTTAGCACAACAAATTGCCATACAAAAATAGAACGACTAAATTCAAACAAAGGCAGTTGGTGAGCAGCCTTCATACGTTTCGCAGCACAGGTTCTCACTGAAATTATCAACACGTTTTTATTTGATTTGGGCAGTTTTGTATGCTGGAGGACATATCTACTTCCCATGTCTAGCACCCACATTAAAGATAAGACTGTACAACTGAGTTTCTGCGTTTTATCTACAAGAGAGCAGTGCCAACTGGAAGTATCTGCATGTAGACACTAACTGGAAACCCAATATTCTCAATTCTCGGCTGTTGCATTCGTCAAATTGCATGGCAAGTCCCCACATTGGCGCCTATCCGGTGATGTCTGTCTTTGCCCGCTGCGTTAGAAAGCATTTCAATCGAAATTTGTCCCTTGTCCCAAGTCAACTTGCCTCCATGATCTCTTCTGCTCGTTCAGTGTACAGCATTCTCATTCCATCGAACAGTCCCGGTCGAAGCCTGTCCGGGGTTATTACTGTCCATCCCTGATATACATACACACACATCGAGAATCACACCATCAGACTAAGGGAAAAATCCCCCAGATTTTTCTGCAGTGCTTAGTAAGCACTACATTACTTGTTGTTGCGCTTCACCTCACACATATGAGTATTGCCGTAGCTTTTAAATAGCAAGCTTATAATGGTGGTGTGTATTGTAGTAAATTAAGGTATAGTAGTAGCGGTATTTACAGTAGTTTGTAATGCACCAGTAATATACACATCAATCCAGTTTATACCGGTGCGCCTCCCGTCTATTGCTTTTGCAGGATTCTCTCCAGTTCTTTGTCAGCGATGGAAATCCAATTAGTTTGAAACATTGCTCTGAGTCCCAGGATGCAAACAGTATGCAACAAAAATAACCACAGGGCGGAACCACGGAACAGCCCTAACATTATTGCAAGATTGTAAATGCCCTTGAAAGGTTGATCGGAAGCTAACACACCCACCTTCGTTGCCGTCTTAATCGCCTTTGCATCCCAAATTTCGGCAATCTCCACAGTGTTTATCAACCCATCAAAAGTTTCCTGTTCCAGCTCGATATCTGCATTTACCATCCACGCCATCACTTCAAGAGCCCTCTCGAGATGACCCTTTTGATGGCAAGCGCGGATCAATGCGTTGTACGTTTTGGAATTGGCAGGGGTAGGTCCTTCATTCCCAACTCCCTCAATCATCCAGTCAAAGATCTGGAATGCCAGATCGTCCTGCAATTCAATGAACCATGAGATTAGTGCGCAAAAGAAGCACTATAGTAAAGGGAGAGCGCTGTGAGACTAAACCACAAAAAAATGATATGTCGGCAGTGGGAATGTGTCGTCAGAATATTTAAGCGCGGAATGTTCATGCAAGTCCGAGTATGGCTCAGTTATGACACAGAATGATTTCCTCTGCAATCCCTTACGCATCTGAGTTCTCTGGATCATCCTTATCGCCAAAATTCAATTCGGGTGATATGCTGTAAACATTACAAAATTTGGTGCAAAATTGATGCACCAATGCCATATGATCGCGTGTGTTATACCGGAGCGTGCTGTTGAAGGGTTGAAAATAAAGACCCTGTGTATCTCGTTCAACCTGTGTCTTCCATTCGATCAAAGCCAATTTTATTGCAATAAACTGGTGTCTCCGGATTGGTGGTCAGAATCCAAGCTTTGTTTTCATGACATGGCTTATTCGTCCATCCGGATCCCCCTGCTTGTTCATCGAAAAACGCAGGGCCAAGAACTACGGATGCAAAACCAAAACTGATTGCATTCACCTGGCCATTCCTCACACAAGCGTCGATGAGAGCGTTGTAAGTGGAAGTATTGGCTGCGACCCCAATGTTCCTCATATGGTGGAAAACATCCAGAGCCTGAGAAGAACGTTCGGTACACGAGGTGATCAGTCCGCTATACGGGACACTGAATTTGTGCTCAAGCTATTGATAACACTACTATTGATATTCAGCGCCGGTAACAATTAGCACATGTTACGCAAATTACGAAAAGTACTGACGCTTAACAAGACCCATTCAACCTCGTGCTCTGTGTGCTCCAGTTGCTTACTAGCATGATAGGCGTTTATCGAACACAGTGCAGAGTACCAGCGTGACCGAAAAATGCATTTAAGTAAGCGCCGTTGTGATTGGAACTCTTTTTTGCAAATTATATTTTCATATGTTTCCACATGGCGACTCAAAGGATCACTCTTTAGTTTCACAATGTTCAGCAGCAGTATCGGCAATTAGACAGTCACATAACCACAGGATGAAATTTTCACAATCATTGTGCAAATGGTATCCTGTGGTCGCATGGCATTGTGGTATGGTGGCGCATTTGCTTATGATAGGAATTCACCTTTCCGCTGCATCTGTCCCTAGAGCAGGCTTCTACAAGGCATGTGAGCACCCCCACGTCATCTTCCATACCTGTGCAACAATGAACTAGGATACATCTCACGTTAAATTTTACACCTAGTGCTTTATATTTCCAGCTTAAACGAGGACTGGAACCGATCATCCACGTTTCCACAGCGGTCAAGCCTCGTGGGAAATGCAGCAAATGAAACCAAGGTGCTCTCGCGCAAAGACACTGTATACAGTCTGGAGAATGGCTTCCATTGCACACAGCTTCCTTCGGGGACTCGTGTTGTACCTATTGGCGCAATGGCGGACAGCTTTCAATCTGCGTCGGTCCTCCTGACCTATCGTTTGCAGCCCCACGAACACCTTCATGGCATCCTGCCACCTCTTGGCCTTCTGCATTGCAGTTTTGCAGACGCCCCACAGCGCCTGGCACAGGACCTCGGGAGGGTCTATTTCGAAGTCCTCCAATTTCTGGAATGACGCCAGTGCACGTTCGCAGTCCCCCCTTTTCTTGAAATTGCATCCCTGGACGAGGTTCAGGAAGGTGAAGCTGTTGGGGCGCACCCCGCAGTCGACCATGTCATCGAAAATCTGTGGCACACACTCAGTGGCTTTGACAAATGCACATGAGACAGCGACGCGCACTAGGGACTTCACAATAGTTTCAAGAGAAGGCAGGACTGCTCTGAACAAGTTAATCGAGTGTGGATGCGGTTCCTGCGTTCGTACTTAATGTGCTTTGAGATGCGTATCTCACAATGGCATCAGACGTGCATGTAAAACATGTGGGGACAAGCAGGAAATTCGACTGAAATCATTCTATTCTGAAGGGATTGTTTGGCATCATAAATTCGGGGAACGCCAAGAATGCCGCGCACGGTCTGTTCATAATATGCATTGGCGATTTGATGCAGAAAGCAATGCCGGAGTGCTTTAAAACGACCCGGCATTGCTTTCTGCATCAAGATTCAAGCAGAAATCAATCAGTAGGCCTGGTTGGACGACATGTGATTTCGAATATTCGTGTAATTTGATAGATTCATGAGAATAATACACCGCAAATGCAGGTTGCAGCCTCATATTTGAGGTAATTGCTATGGAAATGCGATATAAACAAATTCATGTCGTAGCGCTCTTCCCCGATAGGGAATTCGATGTCCACAGTGTGAGCCCCTGCCCAAGCCACTGCAGCGAAGCTTGATTATGACGGAGAGCGCACCCCATTGCAAATGTATGCTACTGGCTGTTTTGCTGTACTGTGATATATGCAGAGTCAATGGATATTCCAGTCTGATGTGCGCGCTGTCCTCAGGTACGGCAGGCCATGAAAGTGGGGCAAAATTGAATTGAAACCATATCAGCCCGCGATAATGAGTACACACCATGAGAGCTTCCTCCATAGCTCCGGCATTTGAACATGCGGCAATGGCCATGTTGTACGTATGGGTCTCCGGCCGCAGCCCATGCTGACGCATTTCCTGGAAGACCTGCAGGGCCTGGCGCCATCACCTGCACATAATTGTTTAGAGGGCCAAGGAGAAAAGAAACACCATTTGCAGTAACGCTGTTTCATTGCGGCGGTTGTGCTTGAGGACTTCGTACAAAGATATCGCCTGCGGTGTGATAGTTTAGCAAAGTGTGAATTTCAGCGATTGTGACTGCCGCCACAGCTGATGCCCTCCAAACACACAATAGTAGTAGTATTGTCTTGCAAAAACAGTAATTAAAATAGGCTGACACTGCAAATGATACATCCCCTGATCATCGATGGTTTAAATTAATGAAGTTGTTTTCTGCATTAAGTTCATGATGGACGGACCAGGCATCGTTGCAGTTTACATGGCAATCTATCATTTCTACGAAATAGAATTTTGGCAGCCATGGACATTTCAGAAGTGGATTTTCAGATTTCACCTGCTTCCATTTGTACCAGCGACAACAGGACGTGATCGCAGCATCGTACACTAAAGTGCTGCTGGGCGGTCCATTTGTTTCCGTAGCCCATTTCAAAGCTCCCAGAGCTATGCCACAGTTTCCTGATACACGCAAGGAAGTTTGTAAGTTGAATAGAACCGCTGTTGGGAACTGAACATGAGTGTAAAATGAAAGCGGCGTGGATGGCAACAGGCACACAGTGAGGCGATTCTCCGGAACCCTTGGATACCCTTTCTACAATCTTTATACCATATGTCTGAACAATCGATGCCACAGGTACCATTCGGGGAAAGGTGCCCGAGGCAGCCGCTGTGTCAATGGTTGACAGATATATTATTGGAAAGATAGTACATGAAAAAAGGCAAATTCAATAATAATCCCGGCCAAAATTTCTTCCAATACAAAAAGGATCAAAAGCCTCTGTGGAAGATCCAACACGAACATGTTCACCGTTCACCGTTCCCGTACTCTGGATTCGAATCATGAGGACGATTTAATTTGACATTATGGAGAATCTCATTCCGCTAGTCCATCTTTACAGCGAATTTTTTGTGCCCCAAATATTGCTGTGCTGGTGTGCTTTTGATACCTGTTTCGTCAAGTCGGTTGATGAGCAACGCCAGCGACGCGGCGCCCATGCCTTGTTCATTTTGGAGCACATCTCTGACGGCCTGGTCATCGGGATACTCTGACCCGTGGCGATTGAATCTGGCACGCGCCTGACAGGCACGGCATTCTCTCTCCTTTTTGATCTGGCGGGTGGCAATGCGCTTATCCAATTTTCAAGGAATACATTGCAAGCACTGTGCTCTTGTTCTGCCGCCGGGAGTGGCATGCACCATGCCGCGTTCGGCTTGAGATTCACACAGAGGCTTCAGGCATTGTCAGGAGAAACACTCAGGATTTCTAGACTGTGCTGACGTCCTTATGTACTGCAGAACCCGTCAGCAAGGATGTGTTGCCGGAGCTGCATCGATCAGAACAGAGGGGAGGTGGGTGTGGGTGTAGGGTTGGGGGGCAGCATGGCAGTTGTCCTTTCGACTTGAGGGAATTCAGAGCCACAATGACATGGGAGCATTGCGGTGATCATGCCGCAAAGCGCGGTGGTGGAATTTCATGGCCTTGTCAGGCCAGCCTCGTGGCGTAGCCTTCACACGTCAGATTTCTTAATGACGATGGCGCCGTGACACCCGGATGACCCAGCGATGTTGCAACCAACGGCTGCAGCTGGCCTCCATCGCGCACCGTGATCTCCAGAGCCAATTGATTTATTCGCCTAATTTCTTTCGTGTGGAGGGCGTCCATGGAGCCCCTCGGCCTTGACTGCGCTGTTGGCCTTCACGTCGTACAGAGCAGCGACGGGGCCGGACGTCGACAGCACCGGGTTGCAAACGGCCACGCCAACCAAGCTTTGGATTGACCGCTGGCCTGCACAGTGCAGCGGCCTCAAGATTTGCGACACGGCTAGCGCCGTCAGCCAAGCATGGCCGCGAGAAGTGACGTCTGCGGCCTTGCTGATGAGCGGCAAGAAGCCCACTTGGGCTGGGCACATTGTTATCAAGCCCGGCCGCTAATTGGGTCATTTCGCCCCGCGCATTCCATTTTCAAGCGGCCCCGGCAGAGGCTCTTGTGCCGGTTGGGCGCGGGCGCAGGGCGAAGTCTTTGGGCGTGTGCGGCACCGCACGGGGCAGCAGAAGCCGCTTTGCTGTGCGCGGCGTCGTCGCGGTGTACCAGAAGGGAGCATCGACGCGCCGCAGATTCGGCGAACCTGGGCGGGGGCATTGGCGGCGCCGGTGAGCGCCCGACGGGACCATGCCGCAGAACGAGCACATCGAACTTCACCAGAAGCGCTATGGCTACCGGCTGGACCACCATGAGCGCAAGAGGAAGAAGGAGGCGCGCGCCGCGAAGGAGCGGTCGAGGAAGGCGCGGAGGCTGATCGGGCTGCCGGGCAAGCTGTATGCTCAGAAGCTGCACAAGGAGAAGATACTCATGAAGAAGACGATCGCCATGCACGAGGAGAAGGACAAGAAGAGGAGGCTGGACGATGGGCAGCCGCAGAATGCGGTGCCGGCGTATCTTCTGGAGCGTGACCAGGTGGGTGCAGTGGAGTGCGGAAAATGGGGTCGCCTGCACTCGTAGCGGATGCGAGAGGGCAGCTTTGGGTGGTCTTGGGAACAGAGAAATATCAGGCGGGTCGCGAGGTGGAAGTGGCGATAGTGTGTTTTGGCCATTGGGTTTGAGGACATAGGCAGATGAGCACATTGGGACATTGTTTAGCCTGTTCTCTTCCCACAAGCTGTCTGGTCTGCTTCTGAACCTTGGCTCGCACGCCTGCACTGCCAGTACATTTGGCAATGCCAAGAGTGCACCTGATGCATACCTCAAGCTGCATGATTGTTTGCTGCTGCCGATGCAACTGCCTGTGCAGGTGGTTCAATGCCAGCTGGCAACATTTTGGTGTCCATGACATTAAGCAGTCATTAATGAATACCCCACGTGAGGCAGAGAATTAGGCAGAGACTGTGGTGCTGCATTCAACTGTAGCAGCACTGATTCTTGAGCAGTCTTGCAAAGTCTGGCAGCCTAGCGTATTGTGTGAGAAGAGCTATGATGTTCATCTTTCTGTGCCCGAGGGTGTAATACTATTTTGATTAGTGATTGGTGGTACTTTTGTGATTGGTGAAGTCTCATCTGCATAAATCGTGGTGCATACTGAAAGCCTGGTACCACTTCAGGTTTAGGCGACCTTGGGATTCTGGATGGCCATTTCCTTGCTGCTGGGTTGCCTGGCAGCCAGGCATCCAATGTCAGGTTGCTATTGTAACCCCAAGCACGTCTTTGGCCCCATGTGCAACAAACCAGTGGAGTATTGGGCATCTTTATTGATGGTGATGGCCTGGACATAGCCCGAATGCATCGATTGTGCAAAAGAGTGGCGTGGAGCGAAGTGCCAAAGGGGATGACCTTGTGGTCAATATGGTGTCTACAAGAACGATGAGCATAATTCCATTAAAGTCTCTTCTGTGCAGTGGACCTCACATGGTGGACTGGTGTTTGTTTTAAGGGCCAGTTTCACAACCCACATTGCAGCGACGAACAATGGAGAATTTCGTTCATTTGACTCCAGAGGAAGGCACAGTGCTAGAATTCCCTTAGCCAGTGATTTAAATAGGAGGATCCCCTTTGGTGGTTGTGTTCACCAAAATTATTGGCTCTGTCAAGTTCGTTTGACTTGTACCAAAAAGTGTCTATTTGGGAAGCGTGGGCACTGTTTGAGGTGTGCAAGGGTACTGCAATGCCAACACTACACAAGCGCCAGAGTTTGTGTTGTCTGTGGCTCATCCTCTGACACACTCCTTTGGCTCTTTTCAACAGGCAGATCGTGCCAAGGTGCTCAGCAACACAATCAAGCAGAAGCGCAAGGAAAAAGCGGGAAAATGGGAAGTGCCACTTCCCAAGGTGGGTTTGAAATTGCGCACTGCTGTCTCAGCTTGTTGACTGGCAGCACGCCCAGCAGTGGCTGCCTTGCCAGGATCTGTAACACCAGCAGCTGCTGTGTTTCATTTTCAGGTGCGGCCCATTTCCGAACAAGAGATGTTCAGCGTCATCCACACAGGCAAGAGGAGGAAAAAGCAGTGGAAGCGCATGATAACGAAGGTCACGTTCGTTGGCCCTTCCTTCACGCGGAAGCCTCCAAAATATGAGCGCTTCATTCAGCCCACTGGACTCCGAATGAAGAAAGCGCATGTGACACATCCCGAACTACAAGCTACCTTTTGTTTGGACATCATTGGGATAAAGAAGAACCCCAATGGGCCCATGTACACGTCATTGGGCGTCGTAACCAAAGGGACGATCATTGAGGTGAACGTTAGTGAGCTAGGTCTGGTCACTCCAGGAGGCAAGGTTGTGTGGGGAAAGTACGCGCAAGTCACCAACAACCCGGAGAATGATGGTTGTATTAATGCAGTGTTGCTGGTGTGAGAATGATGGATTCGAAGCAGGATATTTTGCTCACAAGGGGCCTGCGAGTTTTAACTATATTTGTGTGGATGTGAGAGCAGTGAAGTGAATTGGCGATCGGGTATGCAGATGCAGCGTCCCATCTGAGCAATAATCGGCGCACCACAGCAGTTTTCTACTACCCTGGAGGTACTGTGGATGTGCTATGTGTCCATAGGGCTAGCAACAGCTGAGTGGCGCATGCCCTTCTTCGGAGAAGGAAAAGCTACCTCCTGTTCGTTATACTCCATCCAGACACGTGCACGGGTGCCCACTTATGGTTGCCCCACATTTCTCGACCATTCTCGGTACCTCGTGCAATGGGGAACGGGGACTGCAATGGCACCATTTATTACTGTCGAGGCTGATGGCGAACAATGTAGGCGACAAAAGCTCAGGCACAATGATTTGGGAATCACTGTGTAACATGCATCTCCATTGCAGTGCAGTGTGTATGACAGTGCTGCGACAATACACGCCTGCCTGTCAAACCCAGCGATGTGTTCATCGTGCCAGATGGCCTCATGATGTTGAGCAACCATGCCTTCCGAGGGCTTTTGGTGTGCTTCTCCAAGAAGCGACAATTTCATGAGCATCACCTGGGCGATTGGCCTGGCGGCATGCCTGGAGGGAATTCAGCTTTGAAGCCCCCTGAGTTGTGTCCAATCGGTTGTGGGCCTTCATGCCTGCTTGCCACCATCAAGGGGCAGAATGCAGCACCCAGACTCGCGTTTGTCTCAATTGAAAAAGCAAAGCCCATTCGCCCTGCACGTCATTGGCTCATCCCCTCGACGTTAGCACTGGGCCGCTGCCACTGGCAGTTGCGTGGGCCACCAGGGCGCCAGTGCGCGTTTTATCTGCCTGGGTCTGCTGCCGACCAGACTTCCGCAGCATCGCCACACAGTCCTTCCGACGCCGTGAGTTCAGGTCCCGAGAGTACCGCGACTTGGGCGGCACAGTCGGCGTTTTCGAGGAACTGACGCTCCGACTCCACGCTCCCAAAGACGTCACGGCGCTGGGCGCCATGTCCGCTCAAGCGCTCAAGGGGGCCTGCGCCCCCCTGCCGCCGGTCGTCTGCTTTGGAAGCTACGACAGCGCTGCCAAGAGACTGTGGATGGACGGAGCCGATGCTGGTGTCTCGCCCTTCCAACATACCCCTCTTCCTCATTCTGCCGCCGACGCCCGGCGCGCCTGCCGCTGCCGAAGCCCCCAGGAGCTGGGAGATGCCGCTCCCGGGCCAAGCCCAGCGCCTCGCCCCTCCCCTCGCTCTCCAAACGCACCGGCAGGGTCCGTCTCCCTCCCCGCACTGCCAACCACCCCGAAGTCGTCGACAAAAGTGCCCGCTGACCGCCTGGATGCGTCCTCGCAAAGGCTGCGTTCGATTCGACGCGACGAGGCGCCTTGCGGGGGAGAGGCGGGCGGGAGCGCGGACAGCAGACGTTACGAGAGGGTGGGAGGGGCCGACGTGTTTCGCCTCGAGACATCCTGTGCCAGCGCCCTGCGCCAGGTGGGCGAGTGTGCGTGTGGGAAGCGGGCGGCTGCCAGAATTGTAATGTGAGGGTAACGGTGAACGTGCGCAGAACCTGGTCGCTGTCCATTTGGGCAGATGGCTGTTTGACGAGGTGCTTTTGTTAGTGCAGACAATAGCACTTGCTTTGCTCTCAAATGCTGTCAGACCTGAAGGTAACCGTGAGTGAGGGAGCATACTTGGGGCGGCATTAAGCCCTGCCATCCGCCTTGGAGGGTAGTTTAGCTCCACGCAGGCATGTCAAATGCGCATTTTCATTGCACCGGCAATGACGTAGTGCTTTGAGCGAAGTGTGCGTGCCATTGGGCAGGGAAAACCTATTCACTTGAGTCGATTCAGTCCCGATTGGGTGGGAAGGCCGAGAACACCTTTTTGCGAAGCTGCGGGCGACGCAATGATATATGGAGGTGGTCGCCGGATGCTGGCGGGAGCTCACCGCGCCCGTGTGCCCCCGGCGCTCCTAGAGCAATGCCGGCGAATGGTGAGGGCAACGGCTGGAGACAACTGTTTGCTTCTATCCGCGCCTGCGCCTGTAGCCACAAATTGATCCACAGGTTGGAAGAAATATTTTCACCGACGAATTCCATCCTGAACAATTCTCCAACCTCAGTGAAACTCTCGGACAGCCGCTGATTGCATGGTACGGACACAGGTACTAGCGCAGTGCTTTCCGTTTTACGCCAAGGACTTGTAAGCAAGCTAAGGCGACTGCACAGGCACCATTGCCTGCGAGATGTGTGAGCCCTGGGGCATCATAGTATAGTAGATGACGTGTTGTAGCTTAACGCAGTCACCGCACCCTTGGCTAGAATCTATGGTCGCACATCATTCCATGAATTTTCCACACAAGCTATGATGCACAGAACGTTGGCACCCTCAACATCTTGCGAAAATGTGAGAAGCAACAAGCAGGCGTTGATGAACGCGTGGCAATGGATGCCGACCTCACATTTGAATATTGGTTTTGGCAGGCTCACGCGGTCTTGATGCGAGAGCAATACCAAGAGTGGTTGCGGCTGCTGTGGTTGTCCGACAATCGCTCGCTCATTCGGAGGTCACTGGAAATGCAGGCTTCGAAAAGGCACCAGTTAGAAAAGCGTGCAGGCCAGGTGAGTCGTCGCGAAAATGCGTCACGCTGCTGTCGCAGGTGTGGACTCTCGAGCCCTCAGAACACAATGGTGAAGCTCCCACGTGAAGTCATGGAGATACCCAACGTAAAACGCGAGGAATTTGTGACGGCGCAGTGTGAACCGTGGCTGTCGAGCGACATTTCAGTAGTTGCGGCGATGCCAAAATTCGCCGCTTTGTCCCACGAACGTTCATTTCACAACAGAATTGAGCGGCGACGTCATCAAAAAGTGCAGTGGCCGCGGGGTCGGGCAGTGTGGAGTGAAGCATTGTGCTGGCGACCGTCCTTGGTCCACCAGCACGACTATGCTGTGCGCCATGCCTGCGGCGGAATGGGTCGGACTGCAACACCACATAGGGCAGCATAGGTGTGTACAATATTACTAGTTGGGAACCGGGGAACTAGATAGGGCCAGAGGTGGTTCGCCCGGCTCTGGGGGCACCTGCCACATGCAGGCACCGTTTCTAGTGCAGTCACAGGCAGGCAGCGCGTAGAATATGTCGCCCCATGTGCAGTGTCCTTGCCGAACGCCAGGGATGGATGTCACGTGTTCATGATTGATGTCCATGCTTTTTGGTGCCATATTCTGACAGGCATGCAGGAGAAATAGGAGACGCATTTTGGCGTTGCCTCCGGCCAATTGAGAGAGCCCCATGTTGCTGGCGTGGTCGTGGGCTGCTGCACAATTGGGGCCACCCACTTCTGGCCAGGGCAGAGCGGTACACCCCAAAGGAGGGACAATGAGTGGGGTATGGCAATGAGGCGCCCGAACGGCGTTTCAATAGCACATGCAGGTCGACGAAAATCCCATGGACCCGGTAGGCGAAGCCCAGCTCACTCAATGTGTTGCGCTTGCATGTGGCAACGTCACATAAGTAATGTGCGCTAAACGTCATTGGGGCGGGGGGGTGTACATTCCACTGACATCGTGGAAACGGTCCACTGTTGAGCGTGGGCATGATACATCCGTGAGGTTGGTGCTGCTCATTCGCCAACATCTATTCCACGTCCGACTGGACCAAGCAAGAATTGAAAAACGCTGCATTCAAATCTGCCGACAGAACCCGCGCAACCATCGACCTGTGGGAGTACGAATCATTATTCATTGCACAAAACGCAGCCATCGGCCTCCAACACAACTGACTGTGTTGTAGCCGACCTGATCACGTGACAATCAGCAAACCGAGTAGCTTCTAGGCAATACCATTCATGAACGGTACAAATCATCCACCGGGCAAAACTAGCCATATATGTGCAAACTAACCTGTACTCAGCCTGCACTGGTTTCCTCAAACATGCTGCATGTTGACACCTCTCAGGTTGTTGACACCCCACCCACCCACTCTCCAGAAAGCCTGACTACCATCCCAGCTTGAGGTGCAGCTGTCGTCTTGACTGCTGTTCAGCTGAGATCCCAACCGAAGCCATAACCCGTCTGCTGGAGGGCTGTCAGAAACAGGGTTATCGGCGAAAGGAGCTCATTGGGTTTCTCCTCTGTTGCCAGGCACCCACACTCTGGCACCTCCACCCAGGCTGCATGCGTGTGGTCGATGATGGTGTTGATGTGGAGACAATCGCTCCTGTAGACGGACTCCTCTCCACACAGAACCAACGTTCGACACTTCAACTTCTGAATGTCTTCAGACAGATCCGGGCGCCTGAGGATCGCCGACAGATACTGCAAGACGCCATGAGAACAGATGGAGGCCATTTCATGCTTCAAGGACAGTGCCAAGTTCCCTTCCTGTCCTGCAAGACGAGAGACATACAGGGTTCAATAGCATTACAAGAAGGGAGGAGCTATTTTGACACAGGCACACAAATGCTGGGGTGGGTGTAAACTCCACTCGGCACCTCGCTATGGCTCCAAATTGAGCGCAACGGACCATACCACCATCTGCACTGCAGGCAAAAGTGTACGGCTTCCACTATGCCCAGTGCATTTGAGAAAGACGCCCTAGCCCACATGCACACATGGGTGCCCTGGGCCCTCACCTTTCGAATGAATAAGTTTTGCAAGGAGATGCTCCTTCACAGAGTCCACCATGCCCAGCAAGCTGAGCTGGCACACGGCATAGCTGCCAACAGCCCACTCCCACCAGCCAGGCACCAAACAGGGGGGTGAGACCAAGATCAGACCGGACATTTTCTGTGAACCACAGAAACACCAACGCATTAGGGCAAAGGTTCGTCACGTTGTTTTGGTTGAGGGTAGGGAAAGTACAGACTGCAAATTCACTGTGAGTGAATGATTGCCTCCTGGCATGCACAGCAAGAAAACGACGCACTGGTCATTGCACATGAATTCATTTGACAGGTGTACACAAGTACTAACATCAATGTGTACACCAAGGCAAGCCCCATCTGGGACTGAAAACACATGTCAATCTTTCAAAGGAAGTGAAGCTGTCATCAACAAACACCAACAAACTCCATTTCAAGGCTGCAGCTGCCCATCCATTTTTCACTTTTGATGCAATGATGTCTTTCCCACCCAAGGTCCACCCACCTTCGGATATTGTGCAGCATACTTCGTCAAGATGTAGGCCCCCGCGCCAACACCCAAGCCCAAAATCTCATTGAGCTGGAAATGGTCAACGACAGCAGCGACCATATCCACAATTTTGTGGACAGTCAAGGGCAGGGCATTGGAGTGAACTTTAACAGCGCCATCCTGTGCAGCACAGACAGCAGTGAGGCAACGACAACCCTTGGACGCAATGAAGGGGAGCAGTGCCACCAGGATTAGACAGCCACTTCACACATGCAGGGCCATGGCCAGCCAAAGCCGTGGCTGCTGCTTGGTACTTTGCAACAAGAACAAGTCATCAGTTCATCCAATGAACGAAGATATGGCCATGAACCAGGGGCAGATTGCCGGCCTGCAGGTTCTGTGAGGTGGCCTTCATGGTTATCCAGGAATGGAGATCCTTCAACTTTCATTTTCGCGTGTGCCCACCTCGCATCCAGGAGCATCGATGTGGTAGAAGCAGAAATTCTTGACGAGCAGCGGCCGCGAGGCGCTGCACACCAGAAGGCCCTGGAAACAGGCCTGATGGTTCAGGCCGACGTCGTGGAACGTGATGCACGGGCTGGCCTTGCGGTCCCCCATCACCGTCACCGAGATTGGACCGTATTTGGTCGGAACGTCCACGGAGGTACCTGCCAGACAGTACACGGCAAAACGCCCATCAGATGCCGCCATACATCCGGCCATCGGTGCGGGAATCGATAATCGGATTCTTCATCGGAAAACAACTCGAACACATGAGAGGGTCTGGGCCAGGCACCCTGCCCACGGAGTCGACCAGGCAAGTCTGCAAAGGACCGTTCGCGGGCGGCTGGATTGTGGTGCTCGAAATCATTCGCGCCAGCGACGACGTCACTTCGCTCTCGGGCAACGAATCACAAACGTCAACTCTTCTCAAGCAGTACCCGCTGAACAGCTGTTTGACGAGCAAAGGCAGGGGCATCCAGGCCGAGAACAATCCATCTTAACCGCGCACACAACCCTCCGCGCATCTTCCGGGCCCCACAGACGGCGAGGGCCATACCACGTGTGCACAGGCGCACCCTGCATTCTCGTCACCCCGCCAAGGTCCAGCTCCATCATCTTGTCGTTGCCGTTCGCAACCAAGGGCTGCAGCTCTCCGTAGTCGGCCATCGCCCCAGCGCTTCGACACCCCACTTGAAGGCCGCCGAGGCACTCCGGTCGCGCCCGCGTTCGCCCCCCGGTCCCAGCGACGGGCGGTGACTTGCTCAAGGCGGGGGGCTACTGGCGTCCGCTGGATGCGTGTCCAAGGGTTTTCAAATGCGTTGCTTGCTCGGGGCACAGAGCACTGGTCGGCAAACCAACCACACGGGGTGACCGGTAGTCACCGCTGACGCGGCAGTCCCACCACATTATCAGCGTTCCTTTTCCTTCGCAACGCGGTACCTGTGTTGACGCCCTCCTGGCCAGTCGGAGGTTGGGGCCTCCGCTTGGCGCTGCACGATGCTACCAAGGGCGGTCCGACGGGCGGCGTCGCAGTTCAGATGGAGGTGCGGCGCTGCGCAGGGGGCGATCGGACCCGCGGCGGTCGCGGCAATCGAGCGGAAAGGTTCCCGGCGACAAACGGGGATCATGTCAATATGATGGGCACCTCTCTCGCGCGCACAAGCGGTGAAGAGACCCTGATCCATGCCGTGGAAGTTGATGTGGATATCTCCGGGTGCACATGATAGCACGGGCCGGAATCCCTGGAATGCGTGTGCGGTTGTTGTGCGCGTGGCTGCCGCCCCGGAGGTGGGAGTAAAGGGGCTGTTGCATCTCTTGCAGTGGGGTGAGGGCTCTCAGCGAGGCCGCAGAGAAGACTTCCTTCGGAGGCCTGAAAGATGAGGACAGGATTTTCACGAACCTGTACTGCCGTCACGACCCCTTCATCAAGGCAGGGACTGGGCACGATCCAATCGAGTTTGTCCTTTGGTGGCCTTCAAGCTGCAGAGGGACGCCCAGATCACGAACCACGGTCTTTTAGTGTCTGCAAATCACGCAGATGTGGTGCAAGCTGCCATTGTAGCGAGTCTTCTTCCGAGATAGCAATACTGCCAGGAATGCATGGGTGCATAGTGGCTGCGAGGTGGATATATCGAGCTTTGACAAAGCGACAAAGTGCTCTCACAAAGCTATTGCATTTCCTAGATCGACCGCCAAGGTGCACAGAAACGCGCCGACCCTCAGCTGAATGCAGTTGAACAGAGACAATGTTGGGGATTGAAGCCTGGTGTTTGTGACGTTGGTATTGGTGGTCCTGCTCACTTGCAGGGAGCACAGGAACGTGGCGATTGGTACCGTACCAAGGACATTGTGACAAAGGGTCCAGACTGGATTATTGACCAGATGAAGAAATCGGGGCTCCGAGGGCGAGGGGGCGCCGGGTTTCCCTCGGGCCTGAAGTGGAGCTTCATGCCAAAGGTAATCAGTGGCTGCGTGGCTTCCATTCAAGAGCAGCCTGATGCGCCAGCTGAGCAGGAACTACACAAGATCTTTGCTGTCGGCTACTCTCACAGGAAGGCACAGGCAGTTGTGTGGGATTGAACACAGATAGAAAAGGCGTTGGGCCATGCAACCATCTTCAGCACCTTGCATGTGTGTTTTGGCTTCGTTTGATCTGGGTCGTGGCCCGGTTGCCAGGAAGAGAACAGCCATTGTATGCATGAGTATGGCGTGAATTTGGATAAGGTAACTGTGTCGAGCAAATTTGTGAAGTCGCGGCTGGTTTCCTACTCACTATGCAGTACTTTGCATTTGCGGGCGTGTTCAGGACACAGCTGGACGCCCTTCGTTTCTTGTGGTCAACGCCGATGAATCGGAGCCTGGAACTTGCAAGGATCGGGAAATCATGCGCCACGATCCTCACAAACTGGTGGAGGGATGTCTGGTTGCTGGAGTGGCAATGAGGGCCAGAGCAGCCTACATATACATTAGGTGGGTTGCTGGTGCCCTGTTGTAGCAGCGTTCAGCTGCGTGCTGTTGTGCAGTTCAAGGTGGTTGTGAAGCTTTTGGTGTTGGGAAGCGCATTTTCTTGATTGTGCTGTGTTGATGCAACAAAAGCGATATAATGCCAAGGACAGTGGCGATGGAAATCCCAGCTTCCTCAGCTAGCCTAGGGACTTACAAGAAGAGGATCAAAGCACAAAGAAAGGGAACTCAATTGCTGAAAATTTATCCTGAGGGTTGAGGGTTTGGGTTCAGTTTTTCAAGCGGTTGTGCTTGTTCCCTTCAGGGGTGAGTATGTTAATGAGCGACTTGCCCTAGAACGAGCAATAGATGAAGCCTACAAAGCTGGTTTTCTGGGAAGGAATGCGTGTGGCTCAGGGTATGATTATGATGTGATGGTGCACTACGGGGCTGGGGCTTACATCTGTGGGGAGGAAACTGCCCTTCTGGAGTCCCTTGAAGGCAAACAGGTGCGGACAAACTCTCCCTTGCCATAAAGTGGATAACTTGACATACAGTGCAACCCTCTTCCTGGCCAAGAAGCTGGTGAAGCCCTTCTCTTAATCGCAGAAATCTTTCAGCACAAGAGGAATAGAGTGTGAAACGAAAGAAGCCAGTGGATGTAGCACATGGTCATTGACAAATTTGCTGATGTGCAATGCCATCAAACACAGTTCATGTTTGGGTGCAAGTCTGGATCCACACAGCTGCACCATACTTCAGCTACTCATTGTGCTGATCGAAACATGAAGTTCACCTCTACGTCTTCTGCTGTCACATTGTGCTCCTGTTGCTGTCAAGGGCAAGCCTCGTCTGAAGCCTCCATTTCCAGCCAACGTTGGGCTGTACGGCTGCCCTTCAACAGTCACAAACGTGGAGACAGTTGCTGTTGCACCCACCATCTTGAGGCGTGGACCAGAGTGGTTCGCATCGTTTGGCCGGAAAAACAACCATGGTACAAAACTCTTTTGCATCAGCGGCCATGTCAACAAGCCTTGCACAGTGGAGGAGGAGATGTCAATTCCACTCAAAGAGCTCATTGAACGGCATGCAGGTGTGTTGAGAATCCCTTGCCAAACCCTTGTGCTGACAGCATCTGGAACCTCCAATTCTTGCAGTCAGTTCGTCCGAATGCGCAGTTCAGGGATATTGAGTTGGTGTTTGTGCACCAATCACGTGGGACAGTTGCAGCTTTGCAATCAATTATTGATGTGCAGGTGGGGTGAGGGGTGGATGGGACAATTTGAAGGCCATCGTACCAGGGGGCTCGTCCGTTCCACTGCTTCCAAAGAAGATCTGTGATGACGTGCTTATGGACTTCGATGCTCTCAAGGCAGTCCAGTCGGGTCTGGGAACGGCTGCTGTCATTGTGATGGACAACTCTACAGATGTGATAGATGCCATCTGCAGGTATTCATGGGAGTCCCTGGGAACTGTAGCTGCAAAGGGTGCTGCCAGCCTTCTGGTGCTTCATTGCTGTGAATAATGCCCTGCACAACTGAATGGTGCTTGAGTTTGCCTCAGTGGTGCAAGCAGGCCATGGCTGCTGCCACTCGCCCTTGCTGCCTTTTGGGAAGCTTGAGTATTGTGTGCACACCTGGCGCTTTTGGACCGACCACTGGTGGCGCCAGATCAGAGCAGTTTAGGTAGCATAAAGCGTTATGTGCAGCAGATATCAGTGGTTGCCAGTCACCTCACGTGGGAAGGCAGCACCTTGTCAAATGACTTGCTGGCTCAGCACATGCTGGAACTTCAGATGTTGCGATGCATTGCAGGGAATGTGTTGAGTGCGGAAAGCAACAAGAATGGCCCCATCACAGAGGCTGCGAAATGTGGATAGTCCGAATACACGTGCAGGCTAAGCCGACATAGGACAAAAACATCCACACATGCCCTGTACGAAACACTAAAGCAATTCGCTCATCACAACTGTGCCAATTCATTGTTGTCAAATCTGTGATGGTAACTGCTACATTTGCTACACCATGTTGCATGCGCAGCAATATAGCAAGCCGCTGCCATATTCTCAGGCTTTGTGTCATGTTGCTTGATGTGCAATTCTCGCCCTGGCAGGCTGTCGTACTTCTACAAGCACGAGAGCTGCGGTCAGTGCACTCCATGCCGCGAAGGCACAGGGTGGCTTTACGATGTGATGAAGCGTATGGTGCGGGGGGACGCGCTGGTGGAAGAGATCGACATGCTGTGGGACGTGTCCAAGCAGATCGAGGGCCACACTATATGCGCACTTGGTGATGCCGCTGCCTGGCCTGTGCAGGGGCTTATCCGCCATTTCAGGCATGAAATGGAGGACAGGATAACGATGGCCAGCGAACAGGCGCTAGCTGCCTGAGCACGGAGTTTTGTGCATCCAGGACCCCTCCTGCAGATGTTCCGAGGGACTATGAAGAGTGCACTGTCCCCAGCGACAGTCTGTGCGAAACGTCGTGGGGCAGGCGCATGAAGATGCTGGCCTTCTGCTGGGAATTCTTACAGGCCGCTGCCTGGGCTGCTGAACTGCGATTGCGCGGGGGCAATGGGGGCATCGCAACCCACCTCCATGTGTCTGTGTGTTGAGACGTATGTTAGAACCTTGAGTCCTGGTCACACAAGATCACAAACTGTTGAAGTTGAAGCACTGTTGGCGCTCACCTCGCGAAAGAATCCAAATGCTGTGAGGGCCTATACGAGAAGAAAGGGGAGCAACCCCTTGTAGAGACAATCGAACGCGGGGTTGGCCCCCACTGGAAGTACCCCTGGGACCAACGATGGGAACATTTGCCATATGGTGGGCTGGAGAACAACAAGAACATTGTTTGTCCAAGAAGCCAGCACGCCAGAAGCAACAGTATAAATAGCAGACGGTATATTTGTTGTGCCTTGCATTGAAGATCATGTGGCAGTGACCAGTTGGTCAATGCCATGGATCGAGCAGATGCTGATGCGGATCGAGAACATAGGTGAGAGAATTGCTCTGGAGGGTTCAAGGGCCAGTGGCAACCAGAGCGTTCCGTCACAGCTCATAGAACATTTTTGTGTCCAGCAGGTGGCCGTCCTGGATGACGGTGCACGATGTGGCGTTGACCTCATCCAAGCGGCTTGTGTACTCTGAGTTTGGATGCCGCATCATGCACCGGCGGCCTGCGTACGCCGCCTGGGTGGCACGTGCCGTTACTACGGCCCCACGAGCACAACTTCTCAGCAGCAAACGTTGTGAAAAGAATAGCAATCAACGGATATCGGGTAGTGCAAAAACTTGCCTCGACTCGCTTCTCGTCGAGGTACTCCCCTGAAAGAATCCCATTTCGTCGTGAGCTCAAGTCTACTAATGGAGCCCAAAAAGAAGTGCTGGACATTGCAGTCCCCTCTTGCAACAAATTCCCAGAATCTAAATTGATTGGACAGGCCGTTGGATTCCGCGTAGCTGCTCTCAGGTCTACGCCGCGTCTGTCGGCTCCGGCAGCCAAAGGCTGGTTGCGACTCCTCCGCCCAAGAGACACCCGACCACCAGCAGCGACAGCTCTGTGGATATGTGGTAACCTGAGAAGTCTGCAATCATTTTCGTTCCAATGAAGCCCAACACTAGCGCAACGGCCTTGTCGAGGAATTTCAACCTGGTCATGATGACACTGACGAAGCCTGGAAAGCGATACAGCAAGAGTCACATATCCAACCCCTGAAGCATGCATGTCGTAGGAGAATGCGCAAGACAGCAGGACGCGAAAACTGAACACTGTGAATGCCTGAATGGCATTCTGGTAATCCATCCACGAACCAGGATGCAGCATTCCAAGGGCATCTGGTTGTCGGGCACAGCAAATGAAATGTCCTATCCAAAGCTGTGCTGCCACAACGCTGCCAACAGTCACAATATGTGCCCAATGCGGAAAACGGCAGTCTCAACTGCATGTGCAATCCACCGTAGCTCACCCACCGTAGAGGGACCGAAGGCTCAATATTGCGAACATGTTGGACGTGTACACAATGAACGGGTCCAGGGTCACGCCAAAGACAGCGGGGATCGAGTCCACGGCAAAGACCACATCGCTGATCTCCACCACGGCCAGCGCGAGCAGAAGCGGAGTCGCTACTCGCACGCCATCCTCAACAGTGAAGAAGTTATCTCCATCGTACTCATCGGACACACGCATGGCCCCTTTGCAGAACTTCACGACACCGTTTTCTTCGAGGTCCTTCTCTCACAGCACAACCATCAACGCATATGTAACAGCTTACTCGTGCAATGCCCAACAGTGATATGGCTCCGTGGCTTGGGAACAATCCCCATAGCAGTGCTCAGCTTTTAACTTTTCAACTTTTTGTCTTTAGGCCACTTGACATCATTGTGCCTGCAATTCATGCCCTGCCTTGTAGTTGCTGAAACTGAGGACACACGCACATAGTACCAAAGAGTGCCCATACACATCAAACAACAACGGGCCTCCAGCACGTCATGTGGCGCCCACCTACGGTGCAAGAGACTTGTGCGTTGCCATGCCCCAACAATACCAGACTTGGTGAGCAATTATAAGCTCCAGGCAGGCACTTCTGGCATGCACTTCAGTAAGGTTTTCCTCACCTCCTCATCGTCATCGCCCTCAGCAATGAGCTTGAAGGACGAGTACAGCAGCAGAAGTGCAAACCCTAGGAAGACGGGCTTGAAGGACTCGATCAGTTCCACCCCGAGACCGACCATCACAAGGCGCAACATTGCAGCTGATGCGATTCCATATGACAGCACCTTGGGTTGGCATTCTGTGGGCGTCTGGAAGTAGTTGAACACCAGAATGAACACAAACAAATTGTCTAGGGATAGGCTTTGCTCCATGAGGTAGCCGGCAAAGTATTCTTCTGCCTTTTCGACACCTAGAAAGTACCACACACCAGCTCCAAAGGCAACTGCCGCCCCAACCCATGCAGCAACAGCCTCTCCTTGGAACTCCACCTCTTCCTCTTTCTGTCAAGAATCACCAGCGATGCATTGGCGACAGCATCAGACACACCCACATGCACACCTTCCTGGATAGTGCTTCAAGGACTACAAGAATACATGCCACAATGGCAGGTACTGGCAGCAGTTCGTTCACCCAGTGCGCAATGGAAAAATTTTAGCAAACTCAGAGAATTTAACATTGGCAGGCAACACTCTGTGAGTTTATCTGTCCATTAAGTTAGTCAGGTGGGGCTATCGCAACAGCAACCTTGGCAGTTACTGCTGTACTAATATTGTAATCCACACACATGTGCACTGTGCACAAAAGCATTTCAACTCAATGTGCACATTGACACTTGCGCTGGCACTCATGGTGTAAGCTACCTGGTGGCTTGGCACATTGATTGACCTTCCTGCCAACATACCTCGATTGACTGTAGGGCTTCAACGACAGCTCTGTCATCTCCAGCATGAGAAACCATAGCTGTTTTGTGTCCCCTCCAGTCATCAGGACCCTTCCCCTGCACATTGATACTCGCATCCATGAGGATCCCAACACTAAGCACTGACCCACATGCTGCATTCCTCCTAGGAAGTGTTGATGTACCAATGCAGTGCTGATGGAGACATTCCACATTTGTCGCAATTACAGATTGTCCACTTCCAGTCATTTGGAACTCAGCAGGCCCCGCTGACTGAATGTACAGCCATGGAACTGCATTGAGACAAATGCTGAACCCAGAAGGGGACACATGTTGCAAAACAAGTCAATTCAGCAATATTTATATTGCCGTATATATTTGAAAATGTGTGCATGTCATTGTTATCACCATCGGCAGTTCAATTTTGGAGCTGGATGCTAGTATGTATTCATTCCCTGTGCATTGATATTAAGTGCAGCTGCAGACCTCACAGCGAATTGCCTATTCCATAACAAGGGGAATCTGGAGTCGCAGGAGATGCAGCAAATGGCAGCCCGGTGTCCACAGCCACAAAACATTCTTCTCTGCAAACTGGTCGAAGGTGAAGGAGCTGCACATTGGATCAAAGACCTGAAAACCGGCGCTCACATATGTGTTGAGTGCCATTGCTCAAGTGGCCCACAAGGCTACTCGTATTCAGAACAATGCTCCGAACAGATACTGATCCATGATACGCATAAGTGCACGCGATGGATGCGCATGTTCATGGTGTTGGAATGTACGGAAGGGTGGCAAATTGAGCTCAAAGCAATTGCCATGTGCCGAACTGATTACTAAGCCCCAGCGCTCAAGGTTCCGTTGCCGAACCTTGAGATCCACAATAAGCAAAGGATTGGGTCATACAGGACGACGAGGTCCAAAAGCTCAGTGGGAGGCAGTGGGTAGGCTGTGTGCACCAGCAAACTCCCCAGGATTCAGCGCGCTGGATGCGTCCGTTGTCCATTTCTTGACAAAAAGCCAACGACCGTCCCAATAAGGGACCCAAGGTCTCCACAAGTCCATGAAGGTCAAAAACCTTCAATAGGCAGCAGGGGTTTGTTGCAGTCGGCGACCACGGACAGATTGCCCACAGACAAAAGAGCTTCAACGCATGATGTGCTTTTTCGTCACCTTGTCGATCTGCCGGCGACCCGGCGGACCGCGGAGAAAAGTTGTGCGCGTAGTATTAACCATGGAACGCTGCCACAACAGAGCTCCCCGTGGAAGCACGCCACCATGCACAGGCCAGCCGCCAGCCCGGGACACCATCCCGCTCTTGCCGGTTTTGGCTATCGCAGCGAGCAAGCTTCTTTGTTTTCGGCCGCCACGAAGGTGGCAAGGCGCCACAGGCTGTCCACGCAGAGGGCTGGATTGGTTCTTTGAGTGAACCGTGGCTCCTCGTAGTGTGAAGCAATCACCCTATCATGACGTCATAGTCGCGGAGCTCTCCCAGAATGCTGAATGTTGAAGCTGCCCGACAGAATGAGGCAGGTTTGTCTCACCCATGCTTTGATGGTACTTCAATACCCACGAAAGCTGCTGTGTCGGATGGCCCGAGTACTGCACCACGTCAGGCGTGTAGTGCGAAGTGCGAATGCACTCATGGACATGGCAGTACATTTCCAAATGAATGCATGGAGACGTCTCGAAATTCTTGGACGTCTGCTTCGATTATTCAAACGGGTTGAGAGTTGGGAAGGCAAAAGAGGAATGATTGGAGAAGAAAATGGGGAAGTGCTGAAGAAATTTCGAGCTTTTTGATGGACATTAGATGAGTCCTGGGTCATTGAATGTTGTGGTTGTATTACGAGCATGGTTGGTCAGAACAAACAGCCATCAATAAGCGAGATTAGGGTCCATTTTCTGCATTCTGGTTTGTGACACGAAAGTGGCATGGGTTTTGTACCGGAAACCTTTGGTCTTTCTCAAGAGCATCCTACTGCATCCGTCCCATAGACAAGACGTCCCACATATTCACAAGCCGCCAAATACTAGCACATATCCTGCTCAACAACATGGTCAGACATTGTCGAACCAAGTTGATTCCTGTTGCTTGTGGACTCCACAATCTTTGATCACAAGCAGGATACTCATGGCACAGACAGGTGGCACTAACACGTGCTACGGATTAAAGCCTGCTTGCAGCCGCGCACTTAAATACCCAAATGGTCAATAGCATGACCATTGAGTCCAGTGATTTCCTTCAAGCTCTGACGCCGCCTGTGTTGCCCCGATCGGCCCTCGCCGATAGTTTTCAGCCCAGTTGTTTCCGGAGAGCGGCACTTGTGCTTCACAATGGTGGGTCCGTACCACTGACAGGGCGCACCCCATGCACGAGAGGCTGCTGCACACAAGTTCGCCTCCCCACCCGCGAGGCTGCCCGGGAACAGGAGCGGGCATTGTGGGGTCTGCAATCGCCCTTCAGACCGGAACAGCAATATTGCCTATGCAATTGCATTAATGTAGCTTGGCAGGGTGGCGGCCCAGGTTGCCACATTTTACACGATTTATTCAAGTCATATTTACACGATTTATTCAAGATATATTCAAGTTCGGTCAAGAATGATGACCAACGTTCCATGCTCTAGAACCCACCTTCACTCCTGACCAAACTTATACAGGACGCAGGGGTCCTGTACTAGGGCCATTCATCCTCACTCACACAGATGTATGTCAGAAAATACTTCCCCGTGCACTCAGAAAACATCTGCCATTTCACTCAGTAGCTAACTCTGTTCAAATTGTATTAGAATGGGACCGAATCGTGTTTTCCCAACACCGCTTTTGGTGCCGTTTTTCTCCAGTGATAAATTTCCATAACATGCGGGGAAAGGCGGCTGCGATGGCAGCCGCGAATGGACCGCCGCCTCACATCCCATTGAGGCAGTCCATGGCGTCACAATTCATTTCGTGAAGGGATAAGCCCCCATTGTGTTGTTGTGACACAGCGACCAAAGGCAAGACAAATCACTTTATTCTGCATACAGCTATGGCTTGTTGCGTACCGCATGCTTCGCTTCGTAAGCAAGGCATGTGAGTGCAGCGAGCCACACGGAATGCAACAACTCCGGACTCACTCAAACGCACATTGCTTGCTTGTCGTCGCGTGCAATGTGGTTTTTGCTTGCAAGGAGCAAAGCAAGGCAGGATTTCAGTGCCAAGTACGCTTGTCTCAAGCCGGGATGGATGGATCTCATGCGAGGAGTGTGTTTGCGAGAAAGGCATTTTTTAGCGTGCGATCCTGCCTTACTGCATGCGCACAATGCGCATGCAGCCTCAGTCAACACATTACGTGTTAGCACCTTAGGTGGTTGTTCGAAAACGTTTAACAGAAAATATCACTTATCCGCAGTTCAGCACCCGGCATGACATCGCAGCGCGCAACGGTACACTGTTGTGACCATAACTGATTGAGTATTACTAGTAGCTAGCCGTATAGAGGTGATGAGGCAACAGAAACTGAATTAAGGACACTGATGAACGGACCGGATACATAAGGGACAGAATGTCTCTTTGCTCCGCTGTAAACCGTTGCCGTGAGCTCGAGCCCACGGTCCCCAGTCAGGCGCCGCCACCCCTCGAGCTTGCCTGCCCCCGTCAGCACCATCACCGCATTCATGTGGCCGAACGTGCTAAATGCATCACGTTACTCATCGCGTGAAACTGATTGCCAGAGAAGCATGAATGTGCCCGCCACCGAGTGCTTGGGCCGAGGGTGACAGGTGACAGGCAACCTCACTGCCATGTCCTGCCAACTGATGACGATAACGACAGGTGACAGGTGTCACGCCCTCCCACCGCCAGTGTGACGACTCCAACCCCTTTGTGTACGCCCGCCGGGCGCCTTGGACCCAAGGGTGCCCGTCGTACACTGGCCCCTGGCGGCGCAGGTGGCCCGTTTGCCGGCCCACGCCGCCCACCCATCACTGGGCCGCCCAGTGACGTGGTCCCTCCCCCCCAGAGGCACCCGTCGCCAGGTGAGGCAACAGTCGCCCCAGCGGGCAACCGGTGCCTCCGGGCAGTGGTCTTTGGTCCCAAGGCCGCATAAACTGGGCGCCCCGCCACCAGGCAACGCCTCACTCCCCCCACCCCCTCCCGCCCGGGCCGCAGCTCCGAGGCGAACAGCGCTGCCTCTGCGCGGATTGTTTTCCAATCCGTGCACCGCGCGCGCGCGCTTTTGCCGACGTGCGTTGCCAAGCAGCTCAGGCGGGATCCTCGCTTGAGGCTCGCGTGGCTGTAATGGCGGCTTGGAACATGCGGTGGCTCGCGGCCGTGGTTTTGGCGTGCGCCCTGTGCGCCGACGCCAAGATCGAGGTCAAATACAACCAGCTGCCGGTGGTGGACACGGCCGTGAGCGTAGAGTTCACCAGCATGGGGCTCGAGAAGCAGCTGCTGGGTAGTCCTGAGGCGGGCTGCCCCTTGAATGATGACGGCTCCACCTGCCAGCCCGCGCCCTTTGGATACGATGACGACACGGTGCTGTCCATCACGTTCTCGCTGGAGGCCGCTCTGTCCAACGACAGCCTGGTGAACACGGCCCTGGGCGACGAGACCTACGACCCGCCCACCAAGGTCTCCCTGCGTGCCTGCTACTCCAAGCCGGATACCAAGTTGCGCAAGTGGCGCAAGATCAAGGCCGTGGTGGACGACGACAAGAGGTGCGACAGGAAGATCGTCAAGGCGCTGGACCTGACCGACGACGCTTGCACGGCGACATCCTGCACCTACGACTACGTGCTGCCCTCGGACCTCCCAGAGGCTACGTGGTTCATTACCGTCCTGTTTCTGTGCCCCATCAAGGGTACGGACGACACGCAGTTTTGCGCCGTGGACAGCACCGTGGGGAGCCTTGCTGAGCTCGTGGGCGACGGCGTGACCGAGGACGACCCCGCCAGGTCCAACCCGACCTACTACTTCACGGTGGTCGTGGACTCGCGGCCACCGGAGATGGTTGCAGGCGTCATCATCCTGTCTATTGTTGCCATCGTCTTCCTGGTGGGCTTCTTCTCTTATGAGAAGCTTGTGAAGAAGAACGCGTGAGCGAGGTGGGGGGAGGGGGTGTGTTTGGGGCATGGGCTGGGCGAGTGCTCGCCGTTCAGAGTTCCCTTGCGTGCGAGGACCGGATGGGTTTTCCTTTGTTGTTTTCACTCGCTCCACGTTTTTTGGGCGGCGGGAAATTGGAGCGCTTGTGCATGGGAAGTCGTCGCGCGGCGGGCAGTGTACCATGTTGTATTGTGGCAGTCTGTTGACGAACCACCGGAGCGGAGGGCTAGTCTGGGGGCCGCGAGCACGGGCCCCGAGTGCTGGTAGGCGGGACGCCATTTTTTAGGGACACAAGAAGTTGTATTTGCAGCTGTAAAAGGCAAGAACGAAATGACACGCTGGCGAAGCTTGCTTGTAATTCATCGTGCTCACTCGAAATTTGCCTGGACGATTGGGCTTCGGTCGCACAGCCTTGTCGGCTGGCATTCTGTCTGCATTCCCCGGCTGCGCCTGAACGGGGTGGATACGCGCGAACTGTCCCAATTCCTTGTCCGTATCCCGATTCAGCGTGCCTTTGGACCGTGGACGGAATTCAAGGTCTGCACTGTGCGGCCTTCGAAAAGACCGCATTGACGCGTGGTGCCAGGCCGAGATTGAACATTGTTACGACGTCGCAGCTGTCCTCAGACGCACCATCGCACCCACCCGCACCCACATGCCCTGACGAGAGACTTGCTCACCGCGCTCAGATCACATGACTGGTAAAGAAACGCGCGGTGTAATGCGTCCGACGAACCAAAGCGTTCGCGCAGTCATCATTCATTTGCACAGAACAAGGGGCAGTCAACCAACGCCAACGCACACCGCCCCGAATGGTTGTCCGTTTCTTCCCATCTAACCATTGATTGACGGGAGAGCATTTCTCCGTGTGGCGGTCACAGCGGACCTTCCAACCGCGGTCCAACGGACCCAGCCCATTGCCTAAAAACATCACTCGTTGCTGCCCATGCCAGTTCCGTTGCCCCGCGCTGGCAGCCATGCCCCGACGCGCGGTGGTGGTGGGCGGGTCCGTGGGCGGCCTCTTCGCCGCGGTGTCCCTACGCGACGCAGGGTGGGACGTCCACGTCTGTGAGCGATCGGCCAGGACTCTCGAAGATCGCGGCGCAGGGCTTGTGATGCAGCCCGAAGTCTCGCGATTCCTGTCCGCCCACGGCGTCGACTGCCCCTACGTCCTGTCCGAGGGGCGGCAGTACCTGTCCGCGGACGGTGGGGTCAAGTACAGGGAGCACTTTAAGCAGAAGATGACATCTTGGGACGCCCTGTACAAGGGCCTGCTGGCGGCATTTCCGAAGGACAGGTACCACGCGGGCGCCCGGGCCGTGGGCCTGAAGCAGCGGGCGGATGGGGTGACGCTGTGTTTGGAGAACGGCACCCAGCTGGAGTGCGACATGATGGTGGGCGCGGACGGGGTCAGCTCCGCGTGCAGGCGCTACCTGCTGCCCGGCACGGAGCCCCGCTACGCGAACTACGTGGCCTGGCGCGGCGTCGTCGACGAGGCCTCGGTGGACGCCGAGACAGCGGCCGTGTTTGAAAACAAGTTCACGTTCTTCCAGTCCAGCGGGACGCACATCCTGTGCTACACGATCCCGGCGCAGGACGGCGACGTGCGCAAGGGAAAGCGACGGTTCAACTGGGTGTGGTACTGGAACGTGCCGGTGGCGGGCCTGAGGGAAGTTATGACCGACGCGGAGGGTGTCTTGAGGGACTTTTTCGTTGAGAGTGTAAGCAGAAAACTGGCCCGCCAACAGAAGGAGAGGGCCGCCAAGGTGCTGCCCCAAGTGTTCAGCTCCCTGGTGCGCGACACGGAGCGCATGTTCCTGCAGCCCATCTACGACGTGTCGTCGCCGAGGATGGCATTCGGGCGGATGGTGCTGACCGGGGATGCGGCATTCACGGTGCGGCCGCACACGGGGGCCGGAACGTCCAAGGCGGCCAAGAACGCGAGGGAGCTGGTGGAGGCGGTGGGGAACGGGGGCGATCGGCAGCTGGAAGAGCAGCTGAGGGTGTGGGCGGAGGCCCAGGTTCAGTACGGGTTCTACCTGGAGGGTGTGGGGAAGGCCGTGGGGGAGAAATGCCAGTTCGGAAAGATCAGGGGGGGCAAGTGAGGCAGTGGCTGGATCGGGGCTTGAGACGCGCGCCAAGGGAGATTGCGCGTCGTCGTGCGCTGGTTATGACTGTGCAAGCATTGTTGGAAGCCTGGGAGGATAAATGGGCGGAATGGTGTGCCTGGGCGTTTTCATTGTGGGGCTGCCAAGGACAGCACAATTGGTGGGATTGGGCAATAAAATCATTGTCAATGTGGATGTTGGCAAGATAAGTTATGCGCTATTCGCAAGATCTGATGGGCAACAGAAGAAGGGCTGCCTGTGGACTGAGGACCATGCTTGGTTTCAGTACCAGCAATTTCCGCGTGTCATTACAATGGCCAGTTGCCTGTGGTGCGCCTGAGTGCTCCCAGGCAGAGCTGTGAGCAAGTTGAGGAGCAGGGCCCTTTAGGGAAGGGGGAATGTGCGCTCATCTGGCATCGGACGCAGCACAGCATTGGCTCCATGGTGGAGGACATCACAGGGTATGTGCCAGACAGGAAGATACCGACAGACAGAAAATAATCGAGTGCATGGGATTCAGAGATGACATGAGAATCTAGTGGCATGCTGGTGGGTCGTTTGGGCCAGGACTGTGGCACTCTTGCTCGAGTTATATACCCTCTTGGCTGCTGCAGCTCGGATTCTGCACACGAATTATAATGGATTGGGAGGAAGATCAGGAATGGAGTTGTTGGTGGAGAGCCTTGCCCATAGCCCGCCTTCAGGCCCAATTTTCCAGGAAGAGGTCCCCTTCTCGTCTTACAGCCTCTGGACTGATCTTCTTGCCACAGCCAACGTTGCTCAGGCTGTTGGTGCCCTGTGCTTCCTGATCGCCAGGCAGTCTTCAGAAGCGATGCACGAGGAGATGCGGCCAAACAGCACACAGTGCTTGGCCGCAACGTGCATTCCCATCCAGCATGCAGTGATGAGAACTAAAGACGGGCGTCCTGTGGACTTGAGGGAAACCCATGTTTGGGTGGGTCGTTCCCAATCGGTACTTGCAAGTACCAAAGCCCTCTCCAGGAAGCAGAGGACGTTGTTTCGGGCCCATATTTGGGATACAAATTGTTGCAATGTCCAAGTGTGTGAAGGGTTACTGGGAATTTCCCCATCCTAAAATGCTACTAACTTGGGCAAGGTTAGGTTAGGTGATTGGAAATCTTGTAGTAGACGTTCGTCCATTGGTCTGATCTTTTAGTTCATTTGTGATTGGAAGTGCCATTATTTGCTGGGGAATGCGATTGATCGAGTATATTCTTTCATGTAAAGCGAATTTGTGCTGCAGGTGCATCGGCTGTTGCAAAATTTGCTGTCACATGAGAGAGCAATGCCCTATGAATGGCACTTTTCGCAATGAACGCATTATGATGAATTTCACGTTTGTGTGGTCAAACGCTGTGTCTGCCGTGGTGCTGTATACACCTGGTGAAGTAGGGAGTTGACGGTGACTGGCTGTCGATTAACCCTTCATGTAGAGACGCAATAACTCTGATAAATGAAAATTGAAGCAATGGAAGAAAGCACGAAGGGTTTGTTTGATACGAAAATCCTTTTTGGGTAACAAAGCAATAGCAGACAACACACTGGTGCGATCGTGTCTGTAATTACCTTTTGAGGATTTGCTCCCGAAACATTTGCCTTGGTGCTCACCACCAGCCAAGCAATCGCGAGCTTTCCCACTTCGTCAAGGTCCCAGAGGCCCAGGGGGATGAGCGCTGACAACTCCCATTGAGTATTTGTGACCACCCAGTGATGTGCGGACCCATGAAGAGCCTTTCTATCTCCATCAGTGGTCGACGCCCGCCTAGCCGACCGATCACAAAGCACATGGTCGCCATTTTTGAGGCACTGTGCAGAGTCTGCGCCCCCGAAAGGTCAAACTGCCGGCACACAGCCCCCCACGATTTGTGCTCCATCTTCCAAAGCATGTTCGCTAAAATTGGTGCGTTTACGCCCACAAGCTCCCTCCAGCGCCAAACTGTTGCCGGCAGTTCATGCACAGCTTATGTGCCCATTCCCCCCCAAGCCAGGCACTTTGTACTTTGGGAAGATTTGGTCCACCCAGGTGGTTCCTGTCCCTGACTGTCCAGCGTGGCAGGTCCAGACGTGGCGGACAAAAGGGCACCATCCCAAGAAAAGGCCTGAACTGGTTTCGGAGACCTTGCGAGGTACCAACTTACTGCCAAATATGGGCATTGCCAGAAAATCTGCAGGGAGCGAAGGAGAGCCACGTCCTGGGCAGTTTGCCCTAGCCGCCGGGTGGCAGATGTGGCCCCTGCAAATCGGATGTTAAATCCTGTCCTGTGGCTGGCGCCAACGACTTTGGCAGAGGCGCCGGCACGCAAAGCAGAAGGAGGCCGACGGTGCACCGTATGGCAGTGCGCACGGTCGCAAGAGACGGACGAAAGTGCAGCAGAAAAGTGCAACAGCGCCACTGTTGCAGAAATTAAGAACTCTCACGCCCTTGTCACAAAACTGAGCAACACCATCGCAAAATAGAACAGTCCACGGACGCAAAGAGATGTTCGCCGGTCACCAGCATGCCATACAGTGCTCAAGCGGCCGGGAATGGCCCCCAGCGGCGCGGGCAGTGCCAGGATACCTCCAGCACAGCAACAAGAAATGTCTCCACGCGACCTTGTACTCTCTTGCCAGGGTGGCACAATGCCCACATGTCTTGTGACAGGAAGGGGGGGCACCTGGACGCTGAAATGTGATGTAAACTCTGGAATGAACAAAAATCTCCAACCCACCTCGAGACCCACCGCGGCACCTTCCCTCGTAACTTTGGGCCCCACCATGTCACCGCACGGCGCCACCCGCACCGCCCTCCCGCGCATTGCTGGCCCGACTCGCGCAATGTACGGACGGACACCAGGCGGCCGCCAAAAGTATTGTTGGTCTTCGGCCAGCCTCGCGACTCATCCCACGCGTAGCGGGCGCCCCGGTGATCCGCTACCCCCAAGGCACCAACGTGCTCAAACAACGCAGCCCAAGGCCTCAGACGCTCCAAGCAGCGGGGCTGCACCGCCGGCTCGTTCGCTTGACTCCCCCCTCTCCCCCCCCCCGCCGCCTGCCTGAACAGGTTCCCACCTTTGGCTGTGGGCCGGCCGGTGCCTGTGGCGGGCATGGTGGACAACAGCACCCTGATCTCGTTCGCCCTCACGCCCCTGCTGGTGGTCCTGTCGGCGCTTTTCAGCGGCCTGACGCTGGGCCTGATGAGCCTGGACACCATCGGGCTGCAGATTTTGGCGGAGGCGGGGGACGAGCGGGAGAAGGAGTACGCCAGTGAGTGGCCCGCGTGGGTGGGCGGGCAGGGGGGGACGATGCGGGGGATGCTGCAGGCGCGGAATGGGCCCGGGCGCCCTTGTCTTTTCTCGACGGTCGAGGAAAAGGGCCTTTTTGCCATGTGGCCCTTGGACGGCTAGGAGGTTGCCTTTCGGGGAATGATAGGCGCTCTGCCCGGTGAAGGCCGCGCGAGGGGGCAGGGATCTGTCGGCGCCCTGGCCGCTCTGAGCTTTCTTCGAGTCCGCACGGACTGGCTTTGCGATTCAGTGCGCGTCGGCACGTGGAAATCGGGTTGTCCGGTGGCCGACATTCGGATTGGGCGATGGCCGCGGACTCGCGGACCGTGGGATGGCGAGCCGGCTGGCCCTCCACTGGATGCTGGACGAGGTCCGAAGGCCAGCGCGTCGCGACGGCCTCATGTTTCCTGTGGTAGACAACCGCGGGGTGAACCGGGCGCTTTGTCGGCCCTCTCAGGACAGGGCGGTGTGGCGAAGGGGCGGGAGCTGGAACGGTTGTAGAACGTTCGAATTTGGGATGCCAATAAATCCTGGAGTTTTGAAACGCGCAGGCATCGAGCGGAGAAAGAATAACTGTTGCGTGTGCAACCGTGTTGGGTTGCAAATGGTTGCTGCTGCAACGAGGTCATCGTGCTGCTTGGGCTGTGTCCACGTAAGCATTCGGTTACCCACAGCTGTCTGACAGCTCCACATCAGGAACAACAGGAGAAAGTGTGGATATCTTTTAGATATCTGCACTCTGTCGTTCTGTTCTTGAGAGTGCTTTCCAGCTCACTGGTGCCTCCATTGGCAGTTTTGCTGCCATGTTCAAAGAAGCATCAAGAGGAAATGGCCTTGTGAGTTCTGCTGGGCTCAGAAAGAGTCATACTGCAGTATGCTGGCTGTTGGAAGTGCGGCAGAAGGCCTTCTCGCTGTTTTGCAGTTCGCGCACTCACTTGGCATCCTCACAATCCTCATGCACACTTTGTTGGCGTGGCCTCCACAGGAAAAATCCTACCAGTGCGACAACATGGCAATCTGCTGCTCTGCACCCTCCTCATCGGCAACACTGTTGTAAACGGTGGGCAGTTTTCTGTGGTCTATTACAATCAAGCTTCAATGTGCTGGTGACATTAGGCATTCGAATGTCAGAGATCTCATAGTCAGAGCTTTTTGTTTGTTGCTACATGTTGATGTTCTGATCACTTGTACGATGCTTGGAGATCCAGGCATTGAAGGACTATGGGGCATGTTTATAGGACTGGGAGGAAGGCAAAAAGTAGCCAATGAGATGCATGCAATGAAGCTTGGTTTAATTGTGCCAGTTGTTACACAAGTTGGTGAAAGCTGTTTTCTCCGCACACAAAAAGCCATTAAATGCTGAACAAGATAATGCGTGGGAACTGTGGAATTGCATTGTGTTATAGTGGCACAAAACTGGAGCATTAGCCACAACAAATATGGAAGCACATTTTGGGCCAAGTCAGTTGCGAATTTCCAACTTTCCAACCATATACTACAAATTGTTTAAAAAACTGCACATCCCATCGCATTTCAGTAAATGCTCAAATTCTGCTTTGCACTGTTGTGTAGAAGTGTCGATTTGGATGCAGATGAAGTGGAGTTAGTGCAAGCGATCTGTGTCTTCCACTACGTACCATGTGACTATTAGACTGGCAGGATGGCAGCTTGTGTGGCGCCATGTTTGTATGCTGATTTGTTGAAGGCTGCCCTGTTCACCTCAGGGAAGTGGTTGGCCAAATGAATGTTGTGCAGATAGATGTTGGTACTTCATTCAGATTTACCCTCTGTGTGCCCTCACAAGCCCAATTGTATTTGCTGTCAAGCTGTGCAGCACTCACAAGTGGTGTGCTTGCCTGTTGTGTTGCAGCTTTGCTGGCAATCCTCCTGGCTGACCTGACATCGGGGTTGTATGGTGTGCTGGGGTCGACCGTGTTGATTGTCCTCTTTGGAGAGATTGCCCCTCAGGCAGCATGCTCTCGATATGGCCTCGTCATTGGTGCCAAAACACTCTGGCTGACAAAACTCGTTATTTTCATTTTCTACGCTGTGGCTTTCCCCATCTCAAAGGTTCTTGACAAGGTACGGATCATGCAAATCGTCACCATATTGCCTCCTTGTGTGCCTTTGTTGGCATATGCAGTTTCAGTTGTTCAGTGAAATGCCAAGCTATCGGAGCGCACAGAGACTTGCAAGTACTTGTGTGTCATTAGCAGAAAATGATAACCTTACAGGACAGCCTTTTCGTGGTGGAGAACTGGGAGAGACGGGGATTTTTCGTGAGCAATTCGCCCCCAAGTCATCTCTGAATACATTTTCTCAGGTGTAACTCACAGCTACTTGTTGCATTTGTAGGTTCTTGGGAAGGAGATTGGAACTGTGTACTCAAAGGATGAGCTGAAACAGTTGATTGCCATTCATGTGGAGAACCCTGATGCCCAGCTTACATCAGGCCTTACCCAGGACGACTCCCTCATTCTGGCAGGAGTATTGGAGTACAAGGTATGGAGTGCAGCAGCATGCTGCTGGCAGGGATATGGACAAAAAAGAGTGGCTGAGTGGGAGAGCTTAGTAAACATCAAGGTCATCCAATCCAGGTTTACCTGGGATTCGATGGGCGTGTGCGCATGGGAGGATGGGTGTGGATTGCAAATCTGCGCTGGCTACCTTTCTCTAATTCTGATGCAATGCTTGCTGCCCTTTTCACCCAGCCTGTGCTGGTGGGCATTTGTCACCAAGCACACGTGACTGGTGAACTTGTGCACTCTGCAACTGCACTTTTTGCAATTTCAGGGCAGTTGCCATTGTTTGTTTGCTGTAGTATCAACACTGGAAACTGCACGTCTGTGTGTGAGGCTGGTAGTTGTCCAAATGGGTCCACCAGCAACAGGACCATCCCATGAATGGGACAGTGCTGCCCACCTGAAGTCAGGGCAGCTGAAAACGTTGGCTGTTGCTGTTTTCCATATCACAGGTAAGGTGCCTGATGGTGTTTGCTGCCATGCAGGACAAGAAAGTTGCTGATGTGATGACCACCATTGACAAGGTGTTCATGATGGAAGCATCTGTCAAACTTAATTTTGAAAACACTCTGGACATCTACAACACGGGCTACACACGTATACCCATCTACGAGGGTGACAGGTCCAACATCGTGGGAATCCTGTACACAAAGGACCTGATTCTGATTGACCCCGACGATGAAGTTGAAGTGAGGGCGGTTCTGGCATTCCATGGCAGGAACCATCAACGCTTCCTGCTGGACAGCACCACACTGCGCGACGTGCTCAACACTTTTAAGAAGATGCAGACTGACACAGCTGACACTGCTGTAACCCCCCACCTCATGATCGCTTACAAGTCGGAGGATGGGGGGAAGACAAAAGAAGGTAAGAAAGGGGGTGGGGATGCGGGTGGGGGTGGGGGGGGGTAAGGGGGAAGGGGGGTGCTGGGTGCCATTGTCTTGCCTGAATGAAAATCTTTTCTTTTGTAACGATCCCCTTGCTGCTGTGCAAGTGAGCTGCTGGGTGCACGGGTTGATACCTGATTTGGGTACTTTTGTCTCGTGGACAAACGCTACCCCTGCAGCTACAAAGTGATTATGGGAGGACTGGTGCCTGGTCGACATTGGTGTGGCTTCCTCCTCGATTAACAGAGCAGGAAAAGCACCAGTCCATGGCTCGGTGTGTGCATCAGTGTTAGAACATGATGCAAAAGCATTATCACACGGTGGCTGCCACCCGTCTTGTGGATCACTTGACTTCTGGCTACAACAGCTTGTGAGGTTTGTTGGGAGCACTGTTTACCATCCTCTGTTGTTGGTGTCTCTGCAGTCACTGGTGTCATCACGCTGGAAGATGTTTTGGAAGAACTCATCGACGCAGAGATCATAGATGAGTCTGACCAGTATGTGAACAACGATCAGCATTCGAAGATAGAAAGAGGCCGTGCCAATAAGCCAGATGCAAAAGAGTTTATGAAGCTGTTTGACCACAGGATGCGGGAACGTTCAAGAATGTCCGATGCTGAGGTCCAGGCAGCTGTTGCATATCTCAAAACCATTCCAGAGTTCAGTATGTTCAATTCAAGCAGATTGCAGATTTTAGTTCAGAAGGCTGAGGTAAGATACGTCTGCAAGTCGATTTCCAGCTTGAAACTCAACTTTCCTTTGGTCAGATTGTGGTTTCTGCACGCGGGAGCATGGCCTGGACTGCTCACATGGCAGCACACATAGTGTCGACGTTCACTCAACTGGCTAGGTCTTGTGTTCCTGAGCACGTTGCAACCCATATCTGTGAAAGGATCATGTGGTTTTGATCTGCTTCACGGTCAACCTGGAGGCTTGTGCCAGCATTGGCCAAACTTGCCATATTCTTTTGAACACTTGGCCAATGTGGGACTTCTTGTGGAGTATGCACAGCTCGTTACACAGCACACAGCACCCAAATTCGCTGGTCTGCTGTAGGAGACGTGGTTGTGAGGTACCAAAAGCGTGTCTGTTGCTGCGCAGATCGTAGAAGTGGATGGAGGCGATGAAGAAACGGGGATCAAGACACACAGTGCCATCGTAAGCACCAGCCGGAGGAGCATGTTGTTGGCTGCTTGCTATGCATTGTTCTCTTGGTAGTGCAGTCAGGCGATCTGCCCTGGCTCGCATGATAGGCAATGCTCTGTCCATCTGACAGTGAGATCGTTTGTGTTTTGTTCTGTGCATCGTCAATCCCATCGGGCAGTCTGAGTCTGCATTGACTTGCCTCACTGCCTATCCATGAACCCAGTTTCAGTCGATGAGGATTCCCAATGCATCATGCTGCAACGTAACTTGTCACCACAGCTATGGATGCCAGCTTGGTTTTGACCTGTATGGTTGCTATTCCCGTGCAGACTGGAAATCGGAACAATTACGAGCTGTACAAGAGTGGCCAGTCGTCCAAGTACTTCTCACTGGTGCTGCAGGTGCGCGGGTTCGTTGTGTGTTAGCTTTGAACAGCATGCAGTGACCTGACAGGAGGATAATCTCATGCCTGTTTGCATGGTTTCTGTGTGCAGGGACGTGTCATGGTGAAGGCTGGAAGTGAAGAGTTCCCCTCGGAACTTGGGCCATGGGCAATTCTTGGTCTCAAGGCACTCACAGACAAGGAGTACTGTCCTGATTTCACTGCTGTTTCCTCTGGACCATGCAGAATTCTGAGGTTATCACGGGAGCACTATTTGAAAGCACAGAAGCTTGGAGAGGTGTGCATCCAGTCCCAGCACAAATTGGTGGGAAACGGCCCCCTGCCAGACATATCTTTTGCCTTCATTC